AATTTTTAATTATTTCAATAAATTTGATTTTGATTTGTAATGACTTTTTGTTAATTCATTTAAAAATTTTACTTATGTTTTATTTTCTGTATATTCTTATTTAGAAATGGACTGGAATATTGATTGGGATATATTGCCAACTTTATACTGAGATGAATACAAACGGGATGATGTTTGTAAAAATAAGGTAGGTTTTACAATGTTTTCTGTGATTTGGCTCTATTCCTGCCTAACATGGGCCATCCATATTTAAGATTTTGTTAGTGAAATAAACAATGAACATTTGTTCAATTTTGATTTGATCACTAATCAATATTTTGACAGAAGAGTATACTTTAAAATGGTCTTTTTTTCTGTAAATAAAAAAGTTCGTCCTTTTTGGTTCTCGATGAGATTGCTGAACTATATTGCAATTGCTACAATATTTTATGATTTACGAATTTTATCAAAACATTCAAATATTAATAAATGTTTGTTAAAACCTATAATCTCCAAGTTCTTGATTAGTATCGTACAAATTATAAAATCAGTTTAATTCATACACAATTTGTCTCATAATAACAAGAGTTAACTTTCATCACAAATAATAAATCTGCATTTTCTCTTTGTGACCTTTTTGAAACAGTGCAGCTCCAAGGTTTGTATATTTATACTTTTAGTTTTGGATTTCATTTCGCAATACATGGGTAAACTTTATTATTCTTTTCTTCATAAAACCCGGAATGCGCCAATACATGCCATGAAAATCTGCCAAATAGAATATTAAACCGGTTTTTAAACCCAACTCTGTGGAAAATTAGATGCAGCTTGAATCCGAAAGCTCAAGCCTTAAATAAAGCCCAACGACAGCTTAGACCCGAGCCGTATTTTCCCGAATTTTTAAATCGTGGGCTCAGGTAGTATTTTACTTCTGCAAACAAATACAAATGATAAGTTCTTACTAAAAATTTTTTCAGGGGCTAAATTTTTATGAACTACATACTATCCGTTTAAATCCTGAATCACTGATTAAAATTTTCATGAAACCTTTTCTTTGAATCTGTGATTCAGGATTAGAACCAGTGGTATAGCTATTTCAGCGACCTCTCTTTAATTCATAAAGTTTGGCACCAGAGAAGGAAATTTTACCCATTCTGAAGTTTGAATCGAGTCATTTTTCAAATCTTAAAACAAAAAAAGTTGAATAACCGTTTAGTTTTGATCAAACATTCGATCTTAATTAACGTATTCTTAATGACGAAATGAGAGCATGTAAGGGGCTTCAAGCGTAATTTCGAGTAACCTTCAACACAAAAACTTGACAATGCCTGATTTAGAAACGGTTCCAAAACCTTTTACTGATCACCGAGTCCAGAAAATCTAGCTCTGTTGTGTTTATTTATCTGAAAGTGTATGCATGGGAGTTTACGCTAGCAAACAGTGTAAACACATACCTCGGAAATACCAATTATTCTTCGTCCAAATGGTTTTCAAAACTCCGAATTCGAATTGTTATTTTTTTACGACTTCTATAAGGAGAAAGTATGACTATTAATTAAGGAAACGAAGTCCTTAATGAACCAGGGTTAATAGTCCTAAGCCTAAACAAACACTCGAGAAGACATTCTGTGGCAGTACAAACTTCAGATTGTATATTGTATAATGCATAAACAAAATTCTTAAATATAAAACAGCTCGCAAATATGAATGCTATATACTTTGGAGAAAAAAACTCAGCAGGAGCCTGTTGAACCAGTGTTTGAGATCTAGCCTAGACTTTACGCAGTTCAGAATAAAAAATTAATAAGAAATTTACAATTTGTTCAACCGCTAAATCGCACTTTTTCAACAAATGAAATTTTTCATGAATAACGTTTTCTGATTTTTTAGCAACTTTTTGCTTTCAACCGCTGGTTTTCTGATTTTTCAGCAACTTTTTGCTTTCAACCACTGTTTTAAAGATTTTTCAGCAACTTTTTTGCTTTCAACTGTTTTCAGATTTTTCAGCAACTTTTTTGATTTCAACCGCTGTTTTTCAGATTTTTCAGCAACTTTTTTGCTTGTAACCGCCGGTTTTCAGATCTTTCAGAACTTTTTTACTTTCAACCGCTGGTTTAAAGATTTTTCAGCAACTTTTTGCTTATAACCGTTTTCAGATATTTTAGCAACTTTTTTGCTTTTAACTGCTGGTTTAAAAATTTTTAGCAACTTTTTAACTTTCAACCGCCAGTTTACAGATTTTTCAGAATTTTTTTACTTTCAACCGCTGGTTTGAAGATTTTTCAGCAACATTTTGCTTACAACCGTTTTCAGATATTTCAGCAATTTTTTTGCTTGCAACCACTGGTTTTCAGATTTTTCAGCAACTTTTTTACTTACAACCGTTTTCAGATATTTCAGCATCTTTTTTTGCTTTCAACCGCTGGTTTAAAAATTTTTCAGCAACTTTTTAACTTTCGACAGCTGATTTTAAGATTTTTCAGAACTTTTTTACTTTCAACCGCTGTTTCAAAGAATTTTCAGCAACATTTTGCTTTCAACCGTTTTCAGATAGTTCAGCAACTTTTTTGCTTGCAACCCCTGGTTTTCAGATTTTTCAGCAACTTTTTTACAGCAGTTGAAAGCAAAAAAGTTGCTGAAAAATCTTTAAATCAGCGGTTCAAAGTTAAAAAGTTGCTGAAAAAAAATTAGCTGAAAAATATTTAAACCAGCGGTTGAAAGCAAAAAAGTTACTAAAAAAACTTTAAATCAGCGGTTGAAAGTTAAAAATTTGCTGAAAAAATTTTTGCTAAAAAATCTTTAAACCAGCGGTTGAAAGCAAAAAAGTTGCTAAAAAATCTTTAAATCAGCAGAGCAGGTAAAAGTTAAAAAGTTGCTGAAAAAAAATTAGCTGAAAAGTCTTTAAACCAGCGGTTGAAAGCAAAAAAGTTGCTGAAAAATCTTTAAATCAGCGATTGAAAGTTATAAAGTTGCTGAAAAAAAATTTGCAGAAAAATTTTTAAACCAGCGGTTAAAAGCAAAAAAGTTGCTGAAAAATCGGAAAAACAGCTGCTGAAAGCAAAAAAGTTGCTGAAATATCGGAAAACGGTTGTAAGCAAAATGTTGCTGAAAAATCTTTAAACCAGCGGTTGAAAGTAAAAAAGTTCTGAAAAATCTGAAAACCAGCGGTTGAAATCAAAAAAGTTAGCGACTGAACAAATTTTAAATTTGAGCAAAAAAGATGCATTTCTTATTCTGAACTGCGTAGAGTCTAGGCTAGATCTCAACCGCTGGTTCAACCGCTCCCGCTGAGTTTTTTTCTCCAAAGTATATATCATTCCGCAAATATGATGTCTCTAACAAAAGGAACCCGTCTACAAAGCAATGCGACTGGCTTTTACATGCTAAACCAGCAACATTTTCATTCCCTTTATTTTTGTTCCCTAATGTTCTTATATTCATATTTTATGGTTTTTTCAAATATTTAAGTTTTATCCCTGTAGCCTAATTAATAAAAAAGTTATTAAACATTTCTGATTTTTTTTTAAAACACTAACCCGCCATTTGACCATTCTCCACCTACCCTATACATAAAAAAAAATTTAGCAAAATTTGTTCACAACTATAATGTTGAAAAAGAAAACAAGGTTCAGGGGGGTGATTGGACCCCCCCCCCAACCGTGATAGGGTTAATACATGATTTAAAATGATTAATATAAAATATATAAAATTAATATAATGGGAAAAAGATTTAAGACAGTGAATATTTATAACAATAAAACATATTCTCATATATCTTTTACAAAGGAATTTTTGTCCTTTGCATGCCCCCCAGCCCTATTGTGCAATAAATGGATATATAATACAAAATGGATTTACAACTTTTGGAGATTAATTTAGGAAGTTGCGCAACATCCAGTCAAACAATAAACATGTCAAAAATAAAAAGAATACTTTTTTCCACCATTTTACTCCTAAAAAGATCAAAATTAGCAAAGCTTATCGATATCAAATATATTCTTTTATTTTATCATCATAGAAAAATTACAAAAACTACTTATTTGAGGTAAAAAATGTTGATTTTTTATATTATAATAATTTGGCATTTGGCTAGGATATCAGACGCATTCTTAAGCCGTACAATATTTTGTTCCGAGCCCACTTAGAGTTTATCTTGTTAATCCGAGCCCACTGAGGGATCTTGCTGATAATCCTCGAAACAGCTGGTTGCAATCTTCACATTATTCAAGGATCTGGCCGTAGCTTGAAGGAATTCCAATCTTGAGATCTTTTTATTCTAAAATTAAGAAATGATTACTTGCTTCAAACTCTAGTTTTTAACCTCAGAATACAAAGATGCTAGGATAAGAAAATCAGATTTCTCAGATTATTTGATTTATTTGAAACAATTGGACCAATGCACTACATAGATTTTCATCTCCCTTATTTCATATATTTTTTTTGATTAATTGACGAAACCATAGAAAAAAAATATAGTCATTGTATTTTATTTCTGCAGTCAAAGATTCAATGAAAACTAACGACGGAACGGTTGACGTCTTAGGTCTCTCTTTATTTGGAAATGCATACAATTATTTTGATATTTGCAATTTTTCAATAGACTTATATGTCCGGGGATGAAAACTTGTATATTATGAACCTTATAAGTATAATTATCAGTATCTTGTGTCTTTCAAAAGATTAAATTGATTTTGTTTAAATATCTTATTTTGATAATCATAAATCAAAATCCTATTTTGATAATCATGAATCAAAATCCTATTTTGATAATCATATATCAAAATCCTATTTTGATAATCAGAAATCAAAATCCTATTTTGATAATCAGAAATCAAAATCCTATTTTGATAATCAGAAATCAAAATCCTATTTTGATAATCATAAAACAAAACTTATTTTATATTTACTATTTATATTAATATTCCTTAAATTTTAGTTTACCTTTAAATCCATATTAGCAAGCTGGAGTTTCGGTCCATTACAATGTTGAATCATTCTTCCTCGAAGAATAGTTAACCCTGGATCCAACCTTATATTATTATTATTATTTATGGGGTTGTCTGTGTATAAATCCACTTACACATCAAAGACTTGAATATTTTGTTCTGCCAGGGCAACCTGCAATTCCAACCTTTTCCTGTTCTGCTGCTCCAGCCGAGCTTCAGGGAGCATCTGCACAATAAGAATATTATTAATTCCTCGATATTAGTGGTATGTATTCAGTTTTTTCGTTTTTGGGTCTTTTTCCCTTTTTTTTGCTTCAGAGTCAAAATTTTGCATAATTAAATAAGAGAAAATGTTTTTCAAAATTTTTTATTCTAAAAATTGTTTTTCTTACAATATGTAAAATTTTGACTCTGACAGAAGATTGTTGACCATAAATCTATCTTCTAAAAACTCCCCCCGCGTAATGTCGTCCAAATCCAAACCAAATAATTCTCGGACAATTTTCTGTACTCTCCGACAAAAGTAAAACAACAAATAGTGAAACATTTACTAGTGAAAAATTAAATCCACAAATAACTTTGCAATCCATAGTAGATTCCACTTAAACAACCGGGTTTATATTTTCTGAACTATTTACAAATGTTTTAAACTTTTCCATCAAACCCTCCGATCCTTAATCACTCCTTATCACACTGACACGACAAATAGTAAGATATTTTATTAAACATTCAATAACATTTATGAATTGTCATTTATTTTTGCTATACCTACATTTTATTGCAGGTTTGAAATATATCCATTTACGTGATTATTTGCAACTTTTGTGTCCGAGTTAAGGAGCCCATTCAACAAGTCAACAAGTCAATTAGTCAGGAAGTCAACAAGTCAATTAGTCAACCAGGCAACTAGTTAATTCACAGACGCCCCCTTAAGTTTCGACAAAGATATATGTAAAGCACTCATCGAAGTATGTAATTTAAATGGGACTGTTATTTCAAATGCCACCCAATTCAAAAAGTGCCAAAAACGATTTGCTGTATTAAGCAATTGGAAACATATGGTACAAGCTGTACACTGTACAGATATATTATTTCTTTACGAAAGAACCATGGTAGATTTTACGGAAGAACCATGGTAGATTTTCGCGGCACAAAATATAAAAAATTTATCCTTTTCAGATAGTATACAGAAGTTCACTAATATGTTTTCTAAAATCTTATTAAAGTTATAAATAGCACTCATTTTCATTGAAAAAAAATTAAACAAGAAAGCTATACCTTTAAGCAACCTAAAATGTTCCTCTTCAGCTGTAGGAAAAGATAATGATTCTGATGAAGAACCTTGAAAGAAAATTAAATATTAAAGATAGTTTTATCATCAGTCTCAAGCTTTAATTTTTTATTTTAGACTCTTTTATCTTTCCAACCTGATGGTGTAAACTTTTAAAATTTCAAACATCGTATATTAATCTAGCAGGAATCATAATTTTAAAGATAAAAAAATAGAGAATGAGGCGAGTAATCTGTAATATTGAAAAAGGTTTCTGAACCAATATATAAAATGAACAATCTACTAATAAAAAATTTCTGAAGCAATATATAAAATGAAAAATCTACTAATAAAAAATTTCTGAACCAATATATAAAATGAAAAATCTACTAATAAAAAATTTCTGAACCAATATATAAAATGAAAAATCTACTAATAAAAAATTATACCTTTGCCCAGTTTTTTCTCTTAGTTTGAAGAGCATCAAAATCTGCTGGGTCAGTCGAGTCCAGATCAGCCTGCAGACTATTCATTAATGCCTAAACAAAAGAAATTCAAACGGACTGAATATGTAATTTCCAGCAACCTGAACATTAATTAGAATTCAATCTCGGTTTCTCTTTATAAGTAACTTGCAGATTTTTGCGACAAGAGCAATGAGAGAAAATTGTGAGAAAGAATCACTTTTCAAACTCTAAAAACGATGATAACAAGGGTCTCATGTTATTTTAACGACCCTCAAAGCTCTCTCTCTTCTTATGCTTGAAAATATATCTAATGAGAGGGGGATACTAATGAGAGTATAACTAATGAGAAGGAAATACCAATGAGAGTATAACTAAGGATAGGAGGCTACCAATGAGAGTAAAACTAAGGAGAGGGGGATACCAATGAAAGTAGAAATAAGGATAGGGGGATAGCAATGAGAGTATAACTAAGGAGAAGGGGGATACCAATGAGAGTATAACTAAGGGAGGGGGATAACAATGAGAGTATAATTTAGAAGAGGGGGATACCAATGAGAGTAGAGCTAAGGAGTGGGGCATAGCAATGAGAGTTAACCTAAGGAGAGGGGGGATAGCACTGAGAGTAGAACTAAGGAGAGGGGGATACCAATGAGAGTAGAGCTAAGGAGAGGGGCATAGCAATGAGAGTTAACCTAAGGAGAGGAGGGATAGAAATGAGAGTAGAACTAAGGAGAGGGGTATAGCAATGAGAGTATAACTAAGGAGAGGGGGGATAGCAATGAGAGTATAACTAAGGAGAGGGGGATAGCAATGAGAGTATAACTAAGGAGAGGGGGGATAGCAATGAGAGGAGAACTAAGGAGAGGGGGATAGTAATGGGAGTAAAACTAATGAGATGAGGATGGTGAGAGTAGAACTCAGGAGAGGGGGATAGCAATGAGAGTATAACTAATAAGAGGGGGATAGCAATATGTGTATATCTCTAAGGAGAGGGAAAAACATTGGGAGTAGAACTAAGGAGAGGGCGAAGTTTCTAAAGAATAATCACCTGGACCGTGGCACCAGTAGTCTCTACTGAACATTTCATGCACTTCCAGGTTGTCTTTACAAAATATTTTTATCAAATAAATGTTTAAAATTCACTAGTCAGGAGGTTTTAAATATAAATGTAATTGTACAAAAATATTTTCTTTCGTTGCACTAAGTTCGTATGTAGTAAACTATTGCAGTGTTGTCTATCACGTATATTTTATAAAAAAATATGGCAACATATAAGGGTTATTGTTCATGATTTTCGATAATTTTTTGAGATAATGGTAGTATAGGGGCAAAACTAAGATATTTTTTTTGGGCTGTGCACTCAAATATTCGTTCACTTTGTGAATCTTTTATCTGTGGTACCTGGCAGAACCACGAAAGGTTAGATTTTTTGTACAATTAAATTGATCTTTAAAACCTACATTAGACTTTTGGGAAGAGGAGTATTATTTCTATATTTCAAAAATTTGTTGACAAATAACATGTATTCAAAAGTTAAATATTTGTTTTGAAATTTTCAGTCAAATGTAGCAAAGTTTAATATAAAAGAAAATTGTTTGCTAATTGTCTCAAGAAAGTTTGAGAAACAGAGGCATTGAAGTATTCCAAAGAAACCCAAATGGATTGGAACTGTAATTTCATGTGATCCTCCATAATTAAAGTGATTTACAACGATACCCTTAATTCTTTTTCTGCGCAAGTAAGAACTATACAACATGTTTTTGGTTTGGAAAACTTCTGCGTTAGAAACAATTCAAAAATGGAAAAATTAAACATTTTCAAGTTAGGAAAACGACGTTTTCTTCCACATTTCTATGGATCGGATATGCCCCTCTTTGAAAGAAGGGTCAATTGAAATTACAACAAAAAATAATCAATATTTTTCATTTATAAGAATACCTCATAATCTAGAGGATTAGCAGGAAGAACAATATCCTAAACGAATAACAAAAATAAAATTTAAGAGCTCGAAAAAGGAATTGAGTTTTTGCCACAAACTCTGATTTTCTAACCCCTGGCCCTATATCTTTGCGACCCGATGTCGTAGATCTTAGATATTTCAGACTATGAACTCTGTTTGATCAAATAGTCGTAGTTTGAAATATCAAAGGTTTACACCATCGGGTTGCAAAGATATAGGGGTTAGAAAATTTGAATTTGTGGCTAAAACTCAATTCCTTTGTACTGCCCCCCCCCCACAAAACATATTACAGTATCTGGGGGGATTAACAAGGTTAAAATCTGAATCTAAGAAACAATTTAAAATATTCAAGTAGCACTCTGCAATCTTCACAGGGGTGGGGGGGGGGGAAAGAAATCAAAAGCTCAAGAAAAGGAGAAGGAATAGGGGAAGAAAAAGGGGAAGGAAAAGGGAAAGGAAAAGGGAAAGGAAAAGAGGAAGGAAAAGGGGGAAAAGGAAAGTAAAGGGGGAAGGGTAACAACAGAAGAAAAGAATGGGTGGGGAAGGATGGGCAAGGGGGAAAAGGAGGGAAGTGGACAGGTAGGGAGAAGGGGAAAAGTAGGGGAATGGGAAAGTTGGGAAAGGGAAGATCGGGAGGGAAACTGGAAGGTTGAGAGGGAAAGAGGAAGGTTGAGAGGGAGAGTCAAAAATAGGGATTAGGGAACTACAAAAGGGACAGGGAAGGTAGGGAAGGGAAAATGAAGTTAGGGAAGTAGAAGGACTTTCTCTGAAACTAGACAGTTTTTCACAAATAATTTTCCCCGATAGTTTTAATGCATTATAAAAAAATAAATAAAAAAATAAAAAATTTACAGTAAGAAACAGAAAACAGAAGAATTCTGGTCGTCTTAATTTGTCTAAAAAATATGAAATATTTTTTCAGGTAAAAGAGCCTTAAATATTTTTAAAGATATGTCAGTTGCAACAAATGGCAAATTACAAAATCCTTAACGATATTTCTGAAGTAAAAGGAAGAACAAAGGCGACATTTGTTCCACAGTTTTCTGGTTCCCTCTGTATATTATCTATTTGACCTGGCAAGATTGACAGATGATTCCACTAAGAAATGTTCCTTTTTCCGTTGGGTCAGCACACCTGTCACAGATGCAGGAGAAGAACCAGTTCTTTCTAAACAGTTCTTAAATGTCTTCATTAATTTTAAAATTTAGTTTGTTAAAAAAGATTATACTTTAAATTGAAAATATTTTTTAAATTCCACTTGTCTCTAACAATATTGCAGACATACTTAAGATTACAAAATTTCTGTCAGACAAGATGTATTAGTGATTTAAAAAATTATTCTCTTGCTTAAAAGTCAAATTTTTCCTAAGTTAAAATGTCATTCATTTACTTTATTAAATCCTAAAACGTGCGCCATGAGAAACTATAAAAATAAAGATTAGATGGAAATTAAATTTGTTAATTGGTACCTTCTTTTCAAAAGGAATCTTTTACCTTATCTTTTGCCTTCTGGGCATGGTTCCGATCAGAGGAGTAAGATACTGAGTGGTAATTTCTGATCCCTTTGGGATGCTTACTTGAGCTCTGAATAAAGAAATTATAATTTGTCTTGTAACAGGATGGATATAAAGATGCTTAGTTAGTAGAATTGATCTATCCGTATACTTGAGTAGAATTGATCTAAATGTATACTTGAGTAGAATTGATCTATCTGTGTACTTGAGTATAATTGATCTATCTGTATACCTGATCAGAATTGATCTATCTGTATACCGGATTAGAATTGATCTATCTGCAAAGTTGATTATAATTGATCTATTTGTATACCTGAGTAGAATTGATCTATCTGTATACTTGAGTAGAATTGATCTATCTGTATACCTGATTAGAATTGACTATCTGTATACTTGAGTAGAATTGATCTATCTGTTTACTTGAGTAGAATTGATCTATCTTTATACCTGATCAGAATTGATCTATCTGTATACTTGAGTAGAATTGATCTATCTGTATACTTGAGTAGAATTAATCTATCTGTATACTTGAGTAGAATTGATCTATCTGTATACGTAATTAGAATTGATCTATCTGTATACCTGATCAGAATTGATCTATCTGTATACTTGAGTAGAATTAATCTATCTGTATAATTGAGTAGAATTGATCTATCAGTATACTTGAGTAGAATTGATCTAACTGTATACTTGATTAGAATTTTTCTATCTGTAAACTTCAGTAGAATTGATCTATCTGCAAGCTGAGTAGAATTTATTTATCCGTAAAGCTGAGTATAATTGATCTATCTGTATACTTGAGTAGAATTAATCTATATGTATACTTGAGTAGAATTGATCTATCTGTATACGTAATTAGAATTGATCTATCTGTATACCTGATCAGAATTGATCTATCTGTATACTTGAGTAGAATTAATCTATCTGTATACTTGAGTAGAATTGATCTATCTGTATACGTAATTAGAATTGATCTATCTGTATACCTGATCAGAATTGATCTATCTGTATACTTGAGTGGAATTAATCTATCTGTATACCTAATTAGAATTGATTTATCTGTTTACCTGATCAAAATTGATCTATCTGTATGCCTGAGTAGAATTGATCTATCTGTATAACTGATTAGAATTAATCTATCTAGATACCTGAATAGAATTGATCTTTCTGTATATTTGATTAGAATTGGATACCTGATAAGAATTTATCTATCCGGATACCTGATTAGAATTGATATATCTGTATACCTAGTTAGAATTGATCTACCTGATTAGAATTGATCTACCTGATTAGAATTGATCTATCTGGATACCTGACCAGAATTTATCTATCTGGATACCTGATAAGAATTGATCTATCTGTATACCTAGTTAGAATTGATCTACCTGATTAGAATTGATCTATTTGGATACCTGACCAGAATTTATCTATCTGGATACCTAATAAGAATTGATATATCTGTATACCTGATAAGAATTGATCTATCTGTATACCTAGTTAGAATTGATCTACCTGAGTAGAATTGATCTATATGTATACCTAGTTAGAATTGATCTACCTGAGTAGAATTGATCTTTCTGTATACCTAGTTAGAATTGATCTACCTGAGTAGAATTGATCTATCTGGATAAATCTGGAATCTTGAATTGCAGATACAGGAATGATTGGTAAGACTATAAATCAGGATAATACTCTTATAATAGTCTTCAATAGGTTTTTATAGCTTTGATTCTCAAGTTAAAATTTTCTAAAATATTCAAAATGTCGATGATGTTTATCTTCAATAATTACATTCAAGCATTAAGCTTCTGGAATGCCTTGCACTTACATTTCTACATGTGAGTTGATATTCCTCTTTCATTGTGGAATTTGTGAAAATTATGGCAACAGTTATGAATACTAACTGCACAATATCAAAAGAACTTCCTTTTTTATTATGATTGATTATAGTTATTATAGAAAATTATGATTATCTTGCATCTCAAGTATAAGAGTAAATTCCTGAAGGTTGGGTATAAGGCATGCCCTCTCCCCATACCAGCAACACTGAGATATTGAATGTCATCTTTATGTAATTTCTCATTTCCAATTTCTAATTTAATTTCTGGCTAATTTTATATTTCCATATTTTTATAATTGACTTTATTAGAAATGTTCGTGGGTATCTTGTATTTAGCGTGAATATAAAACCTTTTCATGATCTAATATGTCTAGTATAAATTAAAATAAAACATTTTTGTTAAAAAATAATCTTAGATGAGTTTCCTGTTTGTATGCAGAACCCCAACTGCTCTCAGGACATCCTAAATTATCATTTTTATTGTACAGGGTTACCAACAAAAGATGTGACTTCAGAGACGATTTTACGGAATTTATTTAGTCCGTTTTCTTGCATTCAAGGTTCCTTGGAGGCCAAAACTGGTTTATTTCTGTTGCTTAATCAATTAGTAAACCATCAAAATACTCAATTGAATGCAGAAACCAAAAATCAAGCTTCAAATCGTCATATTTTTATAGTTTTGGGTCGTCTCTACAGTCTCATCATTTAAGTGTGTGACCCTGTATATATATATTATAAGGGTAAATAACGTCGTAAAAATATCTTTTTTCTCTTTTGATATTAAAAATCGCATTTTTGTCCAAGCATTTTTGTAATCAACTCAATCTACCTCTTTAGTATATTTACTATTTGGCAGTTCGCGTACAAGCTGTTGTACTGCAGTTCCCTCCCACATATTCAGTAGGTCGGGAGATCCCTAAATATGTACAGTAGGTCAGGAGATACCTAAATATGTACAGTAGGTCCGGAGATCCCTAAATATGTACGGTAGGTCAGGAGATCCCTAAATATGCACAGTAGGTCCGGAGATACCTAAATATGTACTATACATATTTAGGATATCCCTAAATATGTATAGTAGGTCAGAAGATTCCTAAATATGTACGCGCAATAGGTCAGGCCTCGTTTTTCAAATTTTGGGTCAGGATATCCTTAAATATGTATAACAGTAGGTACGGAGATACCTAAATATGTAAGGTAGTTCAAAGGATTCCTAAATATGTACAGTGTAAGGAAATACATTAACATGAAAAAATAAAAAATAAAATCTATTAAGGGGACGAACATTGATGAAGTTTATAGGAAAAATCCAGAAAAGTAAACATGAAAATGAATTGAAAGAAGAGAAAAAATGTTTGATGCTGTATACTAGACGGGGGGGGGGGTGATTGGGGGAGAGATATTGAATAATATTGTTTTGAAGACATGCGTGGATGTGAGTTGACCTTAATATCATCCACATGATCCATTAGAAGACTTGTTCTATCCGCTAGATCCGGGTTCTCCTGGAGAAACAGGAACCTAAATAAGTATCTAGGTAGAAACAGGAACATAAGTAAGTCAAGAAACAGGAACCTAAATTAGTATAAGTAAAACAGGAATAAAAGTAAGCCAGGTATAAACAGGAACCTAAATAAGTATAGGTAGAAACAGGAACATAAGTAAGTCAGGTAGAAACAGGAACCTAAAAAAGTCAGGTAGAAACAGGAACCTAAATAAGTAAGGTAGAAACAGGAACCTAAATATGTCAGGTGAAACAGGAACCTAAATAACTAAGGTAGAAACAGGAACCTGAATAAGTCAGGTAGAAAAAAGAACCTAAATGTCTAAGGTAGAAACAGGAACATGAATAAGTCATGTAGAAACAGGAAACTGAAAAAGTCAGATAGAAACAGAAACCTGAATAAGTCAGGTAGCAACAGAAACCTAAATAACTAAGGTAGAAGCAGGAAACTGAATAAGTCAGGTAGAAACAGTAAACTGAATAAGTCAGGTAGAAACAGGATCCTGAATAAGTCAGGTAGAAATATGAACAAAAATAAGTCAGGTAGAAACAGGAACCTGAATTAGTCAGGTTGAAACAGGAACTAAATAAGTCAGGTAGAAACAGGAACCTGAATTAGTCAGGTTGAAACAGGAACTAAATAAGTCAGGTAGAAACAGGAACCAGTCAGGTAGAAAAAGGAAAGATTTCCCGGAAAAATTTGTCATTATAAATACTACAAGTGTACAAATAAAGCTCAGATTTGAACTTCTCAAAATTATGAAAAAAAAATCCCCCAAATTTCAAATGTCAACCTTATAAGCATTTTAAAGTTTAGAGCTTAAAAAATTTTAAAATGAGAAAGAAGAAATTATAAGTTTTCAATCCATACAATGGTTGATTGGTTCTAACCTGATGACCCCAATCAATGCAAATGCTGGATTTGATCTCTCATCAGGCTTGAAGGTAGGAGCTGTAGGGAGCAAAGCAAGAACTGAACATTCCTGAGCAACATTTCATACGGAGGCGCCCATAAACGTTGAAATAGGAAGACGACATTTAAACAATATTATGTGTATTTGATGTAGTTATAAAGAATTTTACCAGTTGCTAATAATCAACTTGCCATTCACTTGTGCAGTAAACTGCAGTAAGCTGTGTTTCATGAAAGTTTAATTGAATCTAAAAGTTGTCTTTCTAATCCAAAGTTTGATGGGTTTAACTGTATACAATTCCCTAATCAAGTTAAAGCCATGCATTTCGTTATCTTTTCAGACTTAACTTATTGTTTTTAAAATGATTATTTTAAAAGTCACTTTTACATGGGATTAAAAATCTAAAAAAGTAAAAAAGTTAACAACCTGTTTATGATTGGTCCCTTGCTCACACTCCTTGTTACAAACTGGGAACTTGCACTTAGAGCAAAGGTTTGCACCCTGAACAGAACAACTAGTTTAAACCCTAAATCAGATGTTTTATGATTGAGAACCCGACATTTTGTTTCCGATAATAACAACTTAAAATTTATCATACCAAAATGAAAACATTATTGATCTAATTAGTAGGTTTTTTAGATCAATCTAAAAACATTTAAATGTGTTTTTTATTTATTTAACGTTTAAATATCTCCTAATACTTTTATTATAAATATCCTGACCTGCCAATTTCTCAAGCATTCTGGGAATTCGACAAAAATAATGAATTATGTTTTAAGACCTTACTTACCTTTCGGTTGTTTTTACTAAAACAAACAACTAGGAATGTAGTCTTTGCCACAAACTCAAATTTTCTAATCCCTATAACTTTACCCTATAACAACAACAACAGCAAAATTGTGTATCTTTACTTTTTCTGAATGGTCGCTGCTAAAATAAATAGCAAAATTATTACTTTATCATTTGTTCTCGTTCAAACAATTGTCTGTAAATCAAAATTTGTAAAGTATTGATAAAGGTGGCCATTTTTCCTATTTTTGAGATTATTGCTTAGAATTTTTGCAAATATGTGTCGAAATTTACAAAAATATTTTTCCAATAGAATTGCCAAAACTTTTTTGAGTAATATCGCGCGGATTTAACGGTTCTGTCAATATTCCAGAAAGCTGTGACTTTCGATCACAATTTGACCCATTAAACACAATTTTTTAGTCTTTTTTCTTAAATACTTTTTTGGTCGGCATATGCATTTGAAGAAAAAAGTATAGAATAAACAAATCCGTAAGGTAAAAGATTGTTAAATTATAGACCAAAACACGTTTGATTTCAAATAGAAGAAACCGAATGCTGCTCACTCTGGTTAGTCCGGGGTGATATGATTTCTCAACATTTTTAAGACCCATAGAGATAACTAAAGAGATAGGCAAACCATGATCTCATAAATCAAGATCTAAATTTTTTTAAAATTATTTTTAATAATTTTTATTTCTGTTTCCTAAGCATACAGTTGCAGACACGAGGCTAGGTGCTACAACAGCTGGGTATTCTTGAAGGATCACCTCCCCTATAAACATTGACATTTAGATTGGAAAATGATGGCCTAAAAATAGACGTTTTTATATCTAAAGCATGTTAAGATTTCATTCGAAAGGGGTTATCTCAAAACTATGATTTGTGCCAGAAATAAAAATGATTGTCCCTTTAGGGCTATTGTGAGGTTCCGAACCTATTTCCCCTGAAACATATGATTGGAATACCTGGCTTGATATCTGCTGTTGCCACTAGACAATTCCCTGCTCCCTCCCTGTATTCAACTCTTTAAAAAAATTGCACCGTTAAAAAGGGTTATTTGAAGTATTTGAAAAATATGTCAATTCTTACAAAATTTGAAAAACGAGGCCCCTTCAAGTGGACTGTTAATGAAACTTTTTATAGTGATTTTATATTTCACGAGTTCTATAAAAAATTTAAAAGTAAAATATAACTTTGTGAAGTTTACCCTAAAGATAAATTTTTTCTCTTTGTTTTTAAAATTTATGTTTATTTTGCAGGCTTTCAATTAAGAGTTTAGCTAAAAATATGAGAAGTTAAAAGTTTTAGTTCCAAATATATATTCTATATGTTTCCAAAACGCAAAATGTCAAGTCTGAACGATTTTTGTAGAACCTGAAAGCCATAAATTCTTGAATGTTAAGAGTAAGAATGAATGAATCAAGGCACTGCAAAATAAACTCCGGTTCATTTCAAGTCACGGGCTCAATTTTAACCAGCTAGAACAAGCTTTACAGTACAAATACAGACTATGTAAGGCAAACCGGGACGGTACGCCAAATGAAGGATCCCCTTCTAGTGAAATTTATGTGAGGAATGAGTTTCATATTTTTTTTAACTCTCTGCTATACCTGATTGGTCTGCACTTCTTCTCCTGTCCCTGTATCTGAGTATAATGTGCAGCAAGATGGAACTCTGAACATGCTGTAGTTGAACATGCACTGCATGCTATATTTCCGGACTTTTTGCAAAGCCAGCATGCGGAGTCGGCCATGCTTCTAAAAACGTTCTTTTGGGTTAAAATAGTAAGATTAATTAATGGTTAATTAAAAAATTTTCGCTTTAATCATCAGTTGCTAGCAGGGGAAATGTCTTTTAGTGGAAAACATTCAGTGTGTCCAACGAAACATGACAATTTTCAGAGGATCATGCATGAAATTGAAAAGGCATAACCTATAAACAGAAAGGAGTTCAGGATGAGTTAACAATTAACTGATGAGAATAAAACTACCAGTTAACTGAAGAGGATGAAGATAACATTTAATCAGTGAATATTCCCACCGTTATAACTGATCAGGAAAATGTTAACAGTTAACTGATGGATATAAAGCGGCCGCGGCGCTCACATCGACTAGGATGAAGTTAACAGTTATCCGGTGAATATAAAGTTAATAGTTAACCGGTGAATATAAAGTTAACAGTTAACCGGTGAATATAAAGTTAACAATTAACTGGTGAATATTAAGCTAACAGTTAACTGGTGAATATAAAGTTAATAGTTAAACGGTGAATATAAAGTTAATAGTTAAACGGTGAATATAAAGTTAACAGTTAACCGGTGAATATAAAGTTAACAATTAACTGGNAGTATATTTGCTCTCTCGTCTCGTGTGCTGTTGGTATATTTTACTAGTCTTTTTTATGTGCGCTAGTTTTTCCTCGTTAGTATAAATGTTAAGTCAGGTTCTCATTCGCAATACTAGATCTGTGGCTGGCTAGCTTATGTGTTCAAATTCAAAATTAATCTTGCATGCCACAACCAAAAGTCATTGATAGGACAAAACATCATTTTCCAGTGTCTTCTGGTTGTTATGGATATCAAAATAATACAAATTTTGCTCAGCATTGCGCTAAAACTTACACCCATGTAAACCAATGGTTGTCTATTTTCTCTTAGACATATATATTTTAATAATCAACATAATTCATATTTTTATCACTAAAGACAATGTCAACAAAATTTGGCCAAACTTTCCTAAAAATGAATTTGAAGTTTTTGCGCATCGAGGGGAGGTTTAATAAGTTGATGTACAGTAATTTCGTCGTTTATATCAATACAATGAAAAAGATTTTCTAATTTAATTTTGATTTCTATCAAGCTTTAAACAGCTTGGTTCCTCATACAAATAGAAACAGAGAGAGAAGCTAACAATTTACAGATTATTTTAAGATTTCCTTGTAAACCTGTAATTTTGAAAAAAGCTTGTTAAAAATCAAAACCTAAAAAGAAAGGTCGTCTTCTTTGTATTGATACAAAAGCCGACAACTTGATGAAAAATGATGCAAATGACTAATAATTTTCATCAATGTATTTGTAGCAGGTATTCCAATAAAATGTATGAAAATAGAACAATGTTAATTCTAATACTATAAATGTAGAAAAAACCAATATTGCACAAAGAAAATTCCCATGGGGACGGACATCCAAATGTAAATATGTATCAATGTTTGTTCCAAAAATATTTGCGTCAAAATCTGTTTTCAGTGAGCTTCGTCAGTGCCAAAAAAATCGAATTAAAGGGTATCTAATTTAGAATAGATAAGTCTCTTATCGCGATAAGCATTAAAAGATGATGAAGTAGTATCCTATTTAACCCCTTTGCTGCTTTTGTTTAGCTTTAAAACTATAAGGGTTTAAGAGCTAAACTTGCTTGCCATTTCCTAAATATATTTTCCGAGATTTTAAGTTCAAATTTCCATGCAAATACTTGAGACTCCAAGCCTACTGCCTGAAATAGGCCTGTTTTGCTCCTTTAGATTAAATTTGCTTTTAATAAACAACTAAAAATTGTCCATTCCTGAGAGAAAGGGGGTGCAGGGCCGCCATGAAAAATTACCTATGTAGCCTTCGAACCAAAGCTAAAGGGAACCTGAGTGCACACAAAACCTAAGTAGAAGAAAGATATAACATAAATCTTATCTTCTGATAGGTCAGTGCAGCTCCCAACATTCACTCATTCATAAATAACATTAATCTTAATAAGATCTAACTCTGTATAGCTAGTTATAAATATCTAGCTCAGTATAGACAGACTAGAATATATAGTTCTGCATAGCTAAATACAATTCATAGCTCTGCAACGCTAAATGAGATAAATAGCTCCGTAAAGCTAAGCAGGATAAATAGCTCCGTAAAGCTAAGCAGGATAAATAGCTCCGTAAAGCTAAGCAAGATCCTTGGCCCTGCAAAGCTAGATAAGACAAATAGCTTTGTAAAGCTATATACATATATGAAGATAAATAAGATCCTTGGCCCGGCAAAGCTAAATAAGACAAATAGCCTTGTAGAGCTATATATATATATATAAAAAGATAAATAAGATCTTAATTGTTTATAAGTATATTAATAGCTAAGTAATTAATAATACCACAAAGGTTACTAAAGAATTAATATAAATGAAGATTAAATACGTTGACCAATGTCCATGTTTACTGAATCGCTTGCAGACAATGTAATGGAATTGGAGACAGCAACGATGGATTAGAGTTTGGGGCATTGTTTATTTCTGATAACTCAAGTGAGATAATCAATGCACCCATAAAGAAAATCACCTAGCTTCGCAAAGCTAAATAAAACAAATAGCTCCGTAAAGCTATATAAAGGATACTAACTCTTTATAACTAAAAGGATAAATAAGTATTGATTATCTAAGTATATTAAAAGCTAGAAATATCTGTAACAATACCACTGAGGTTACTTTAGCTGCAATGGAGGTTATAACTATCTCATCCTGCGAGGATGACCCTGATGATCCTGGTGTATGGTTTCCTGCTCAGTCTGATGCTGAGGTATCTGAGAGCTCTGGGGATAGAGGAGGGAACAATCATGATTAAGGAGAGACGGAGAAAGGTGAACCCCAGAAGGGGGATTACAGAGTAGATCCGGATGATGTCCCTGGCCTCGAGGATGAATCTGAAGAAGGGAATGAGGCTCCACCAGGGTTGGAGGCAGATGAATCCTCATCAATTGGAAATGAAGGAACCTTAGAGCAGCTACAGTATCAACTTAGGGATCTAATGAAGATCATGGAACAGTTAGGGAACCTAAGGAAGTACCAGGCCGCCTCTTCAGCATAGTTAGTGATCCACTGGAGTGCAGGAGGTGGACCTCGGGACCGAATACTGATCTCCTGAATAAACAAGAATTAACAAACTTAGATCAATAAATATTATTATGAGAGTTAATTATTGTAATTACTCTGTTAGTTAGACCAAATGAATCTCGGGGTTTACAACAACTTCTATTTTTGTTTTCTTAATTTTTACAAATTCCTTAACTTGTGAATAACTATTGCTGTTTTATATCAAGATAGACAAATTTTATCTGTTCACAAAACACACCATTTTTGGTGAAATACTTAAATTTGTGCGTTTATCATATGCTTTGTGTAAATTTTTCATAAGAAAACAAGTTATGATTAATTGACGAAATTAATACTTGAAATTTGTAGATTAAATGATTCTTAAAACCATTGTGGATTCTACTACAGTGGTAGGCGATTATATCAATACAATGAAGACGACTTTTTATTTGAGTTTTAATTGTTCGCAAGCTTTCTTCGAATTACATGTTTATAAGTAATCAAAGAGGAGGTTTTTTAAATTGACATCTTCTCTTTGATTTCAAGTTTATGTGCATCCATGCTGAATAAATATCACAATTGACAATGAAAGTCGTCTTCATTGTATTGATCCACTTGCTTATTACTGTATGAAGAGACATGTTTAAATTTTTGATTGGTTAAGTACATACAAAACATAAAAAAACAGCCAGCGGAAATAGTATGTCAAAGGCTCAGAGATGGTTTTGCGGGGTTAAGAGGTTATTTTGCGTATCAGGATCGAGGCTCCGGAGGTCATTTAGCGGGGCTCATGATGGTTCTGCTCCCCCTCACTCTAATGATACATAGCTTTAATTTGCACATCTGGCATTGATTGATCAAGAAATGATAAAAAAGTGACATAAATGCAAACTATGTACAGGGTGTCCCACAAAACATGACAGTTGAAAAATAGTTTTGAACGTCGTCTTTTATATACTGCATTATGATATTTAAGGCTTTTTGCAGTTTATTTCGTAAAAAATCTTTTTCTCAAATTCATTTTACTTCTAAATGAATTTTACTATAATATGGCTCCCATAAACCATTTTTATTATTGTTTTTGCATAACAAATTATGGAAGAAGACATTAAAAATTATTTACCAACTGTCATGTATCGTGGGACACCCTGCATCTAATTATCCGATAAATCCATGTTTTTGTTTATTTGAAAATTCTTTTTTGTATATCTTTAAATTTTCAGGGGTTTCTTTTCCTAGATCTTAAACAGGAAAAATTGAATTTTTTTTAGTGCCTGAAGGTCCAGGTCTATTGCCTGAATTAGGCCTGTTTTATCTCCCTATAGATTAAAATTGCTTTAAATACATAAAAAAATTTGCCCTTTTTTGGCGTAAAATACGCACATTTAATTCTGCTTTTATCGATTCAACAACACTAAGTTATATGTTTTTGGAAATCTGTTGAGAAGAGTATTTCAACCATATTCATTTCAATCAGTTTTCGAACAGTTATGCAATGTCGTTTTTGCAAAGGATTTCAAAATGGTGTAAATATCAATTTTTTCTTCTTCCTAGACATACAAGGTGTGTTTAGTCTTTTTAGCTTATTAGACATCGTTGTATATAGTCAAAAAGTTCTTCTGTTAAGTACAATCCCCACAAATGGAGGGGGGGTCATCGATAAATTTTTTTCTCTCTAAAATGCCGTTTTAATCTTTAAAATTAGACCTAAATATGCTCACTCCCATTTCCGAAGATATTAATTGTGTTTTCACACACTAGACGTCGTTTTACTGTACTAAAAAATGTTCATACATTGGTGGGTCGTCGGTGAAACATTTTACTCTAAAATGTCGTTTTAGCCTTCAAAATGTAATCGAAATGTAGTCTGGCTCTTTCTCAAATACTTTCAATACAAAATTTAAACCTTTTTTCGTCTTTTAGTTTTAAAAATCCTCAATTCTGTCATTGAAAATGTGTTATTTATTCTGTACTGTCGTATAAAATGTAAAAAATAAAATTATAATTGTAACTTTTTTGAAAATCTTTGGAGAAGACACCGAGGACATTTCGAATATTAGGTCCCCGTTTGAAGGTTAAAACGGTATTTTAGAGAAAAATGGTTCATCGACAAACCCTCCCCCCATTTGTGGGTATTATAACCTACTGTAAACACCTTTTAACGCATTTCATCGATGTTGAGTAGGCTAAAAAGCCTAAACACACTTTTTTCAGAGATATCCTTACATTCTACGATATTGCAACTCTTATAAAAGTAAGCAAATGACTTATGCAAACTTTTTGCACAATTTTTGCCAACAAATTAGTTTTTATCTGTTTTGGAACATTTTCCACGCAGTTTGCAATGATTTTTTATTATAAAAAAAGACGATTTAAAAATTTCACTCAACTCCCATATACGTATATTGGGACACCCTATATACGACATTTTAAATCAATTGTGAAGGTCATTAACAGCAAACCCCATATTAGAAAATTCCAAGAAGTTTTGATATTTCTCGAGTGAATTACTTATATCCACGATATTAATATAATTTCCATGTTTATTTGGACACTCTGTAACATAATATTCAAAGGTTGTGGCATTAAGACTTGATACAGAAGTATAACATGTAGCGACATTGCAGATTTAAGGAAAATAATAATATAATAAATATTTGAAACTGGAATCATACATGATAATAAAAAGATTTAATTTTTTAAAAATCTGGTAAGTTTGTATCAGGGCAAAAACAACACAATATATTAAAAAATGTTAATATGAAATAGAAAAAACTTCAACTTAAATGCTAACTAAGTATAAATATCACTAATAATAACATGCATATAAAAATACCCCAGATTTAATTCTAACAAATAAAAGAATATATAAACATTACGGCCTCAAACAGCGAATGCGAATAAAATATGTTTCAAAATTTGAACAATAGAATATATAAAATTTTACAAAACAATATAATTTTATGTGATTCAAACGAAGTTAAACGTTAGTCTATAAAGTGTTTGCTGTCCAAAATTGCTGCTAAGGCTATGATATAGAACAGGACTTTTCTCCTGATTGCTGTTCTTGAACCTGTCCTTGTCTTCCTGCTTCTCGTTCACTTTCCTGTTTAACCAAGAGTAAATCAGATTTTCATAAAAATTAGAGAATAAATAAATAGGAAAATAGCCAAATACTGCTCGAATTCCCCTTAGATTGTCGTGTTCTTTTTATTCTTAGGGGTTATTAGTTTTTCTTTCTGACATACAAACGTATCTTTGCTCTCTCGTCTCGTGTGCTGTTGGTATATTTTACTAGTCTTTTTTATGTGCGCTAGTTTTTCCTCGTTAGTATAATTTTACCATAATAGCAAATACTTGATAATTATCTTATATCAATTACGACAAGAAAACAAGTAACTAACTAAAAACTAATATCTTTTATAAGTATGAGCTGATAAGGGTGTCTGATAAAATTCTAAGCGCCATATAAAATAATAATATATTCAAAGGTATTCTAAAATTCAGAGAAATAAATCAAAGGTCTAGTTGTCTTAAATCTAAGATTTAAAACAAAAATTTCTTGTCAGTTAGGGCAATTAAATAAATTATAAAATATCTTGACAAAATTGTTAAAATAGACACTATAACTCTGCTGGTCATTGTAAAAATTCATGATTGATCATTGTTCCTAAAATTTCAAAAAAATTTACAATCCCTGGCCGGAGTTTTTAATTGAATTGACTGCAGGCTACGTGGAGAAGGGGTATTGGGTCAATATATATCCTAAGGTCGAAACTTGTCTTAAATCCCGCAAAGCTTAGTATTCTCAGACTTAACCAGTATCGCAGGGGAATAACGGAGGCACAACTCTGTCTAAGCAGTAAGCCTAGGTCTTAGACTTAGTCGGAATCCAACACTAGTTTCTCCCCTAATTAGTTGATACATAATCTAACCACTGTAAATTTCTCCATGCATTACCATAGGATTCTTTTTTCTTCTTTTCTTTAAGCTGAAACAATAGTTCCTCTGATAGTTTACTTTAATTAAGGATGAAACTATTTCATCAAAATTGTCAAATCTTTTATGCACCAGCAAAAATGTATACATCTTACAATAGCAAATTAGAAGCAACATTTATAAAATAAAAAATAAAATAAACTCATTCAGTAATTAAAGTTTTAAAAAAAAACAATTATCATAAGGAAGGTCGATCTTTTTTTTCTAAACATGTAGATTGTTGTTATTTGGGAAGATATTTTTATACCCATCTTGATTTATTTTGACGAAATTTGAATGATTTAAAAAAAAATCTTAAGATTTAAAAAAAATTATCAAAGAAAACTCTGAAACTGGTGCAAGGTGGATATGAGCATACGGTCACATACGGTGGTAAGCGATTATATCAATAAAATGAAGACGACTTTTTATTTACGTTTTGATTGTTAACAAGCTTTTATCGAATTACAAGTTTACAAGTAACAAAAGAGAAGATTTTGTAATTGACAGCTTATCTTAGTTTCCATGTTTTTTTTTGTACTAATGCTGTTTTAAAACTTTAATAACATCAAAATTGAAATCAAAAGTCGTTTTCATTATATTGATATAATTCCCTACCACCGTAGTTTAATCCGTACTTTACAACCACAAATCTATTGGGAGCTGAGCGATGAAATACTATTTTTATCAACTAACTCTTCAAGTATACTTTTATTTAAATCATTAAAACAACTCGTCATATTCTAGAACAAACAAATTATATATAGACGTTGTCAGTTAAACTAAAACAACAAAATATTTTTCAATTTCTGATTAAACCCATCCTGCCTGAATAGCTTGTGCGAGCAATCGATCTTCATCCTCCTGAAGAAAAAAATGTATTTAACAAAAAAACAATCATTTGATTAAGAAACGTTTAGGCAAGGGTATATACTGTATATTCTTACACCCCTAACAACAAAAAGGGAAAAAATTCAATTTTGTTTGAATTTTAGTCTCCTACAGTTTCATAAAATCATAAGAGGAAAAAGTATTAAATTTAGATTGAATTCTCTTCTCCCTTAAGTTTCCTGTGTCCAAATTTAATGAATTTAGGCCGCGTCTCAAATCCCCACAAAACCGGTTTCAATTGAGTGCCAGCTTAAATCTTGAGAAATTTTATACAATTTTTAGTGGAACCAACCATATTTGAGCCCCGGCTTAAATATAAGCTGGGGCTTAAATTCTTTAAATCCGGCCTCTGGAAAGTCAGACAAGGGAAGGTAATTCAGCTTAAATTTTTTTCCTCATAAGTTTCCGGGTAAATAAAAAAAACTAAAGAAGTTTCATGAGAACAAATCAACTAATAAATTTGGAATTCGGGACAACATCAGCCTCAATTGGAAACTAGAGAGTCAAAAATATAGAAATATCTCATTTGCCTGTAACAATTTTTTGAGTAAGTGACACGAAAAGTACATTTTCTTTCAATAATTATATTCTTGTATGGAGGAGTCTTACTCCTTTGTTACAAGAAACGATAGATATTTAGGTTGCAAAAAAGAACTACCCGCACTGTTTGCACTGCGCACTAACAAACAGGGAAGTAAAATAAAATTATTTTTATACAAGGGGTAAAGAAATCTCTTCAAAGTAAAAATATACATATAGAAAGGGTTAAATTTTGAATAAAGAAATACCACGCCCCGGGTAGGGGGAATAATTTACTAAAATTTGGGAGAAACATAAATAATTGTACATTATTTATTTTTTCCAAAAACAAAAATTCTTGATCTAATAATGAAATTTTTTTTTTTTTGAAGAGGTGGGGGGCTGTGGGTTGCTGATTTGTCAAGAAAATATATACCCCTGAAGTACTGTACTGATGTTTACCTGAGTTAAGGCAGCTGTACTGTACTGTTGCTGCATAGAACAATCAGTCATTGAAGCGGCTAAAGCAGCTGCTAATGCTTCATCTTCTGACATCCCATTCTGCAGAGAAGCAACAGCTTGACGGCTTCCACTAGCAGCTTGCCTGCTACCTGTCGGTCGATTTGGAACACCAGATCGACCATTTTCAGTTCCTTGTTCTGGACTGAAAGGTCCGGTAAAAAAGTTTGTAATCCGTGACTGTGTCGACTGTGCGCCAGCTCTTTTATCAGCTGCAGCGGCAACTCTGTCCGCAGCTGCAGCTGCTGACCGTCGTGCTCCAATGGATTTTCCTTCACAGCTGTGATCGTTAGGATGGCGATGTGCCAGGCAGAAGTTAAGGTTGCAGGAATCACAAACACACTTGATCAATTCTTTCTTTTTACACTTGTGTTTACTGCATTTATTGGTGAAAACCTTCTCAGTTTGTTTCTGTCGACAATCCTTAAAATATTAATAATGCAATTCTCTTCAAATTTTTTTTTAAATTTAAACAATAATGGCATAATAAAAAGCAAACAAATAAAACTCATTAGTTTTTACTTGCATTTTTAATTCTTAAAAAAAGGTATTATCATATAAGTTTTTTAAAAAGTAAATATGAACAATTTATAAATAAACAATTAATGTCCTTGACTATTAAATACTAAATATTCATGGCAACATACTTTGATACATGGAAGTAAAGTCCAACAATGGAAATACCGATTATAACGTGGATTTATCAAATACAATTTTTTATTTTATTTTCACCTGGTCAATGTGCGCGGAAACTGCTAAATCAGGAAGAGTACCGCGAGTGAAAGGAACAGGCGCGCTACACAAGGGACAAACTGGAACCTGTCAATTATATTCAAAAAAGGGATTTTTAGCTTTTTTTCATAGATTCTTCTTTAAATAGAAATTATGCAACTTAGAAAATCTAAGGCTTCCCAGTTTTCTATTTTACATTTTCCTCCGAATATATTTGTTGATACCTTACAATTTATGATTTGAAGGACAACATAAATCTATCCCGATGGTTTAAACCCCCTGCCCCATTTCTCATTATCCCCCCAAATCTGAAAAATTAATTTTTTCCTTACTTTTTGGTATTTGGTCGGCGTTCGGAAAAAATTTCATTTTTTATCTCTATCGAGCTCTTGCTTATTTGTACAAATCCAGTTATCTATTGGTTAGAAAAATATATAGTTTACGTTTATTGGGTATATATATATATATATTTATATATGGAATATATCAAAATTCTACGAGTACCTAATATCTCGTATCATTTGAACACCCAAACCTAAACAACAAATAAAGCCGACTCACATGTCGAGCCCACTTTATACTAAAACGACTATTTCCTTCTCAAATTCCAAACTTATTCATATATATTTACCCCCTAGATTTTAAAATGAAAAAGTATAAACTCATACTGAGATCTAATCCTGTTGATGGTTTCTTAAAGAATGACAGTTTGGTTTGGTTATATTTTTCTAGACACACTTATATAACAAGATGTGACGTCATAGCAGATCTCGTATGCCGATAAAAATTAACAATTTTTCATACAATTCTTAAAAATATACAGTACACCCTTGTACCATAATTTCAATTGACTCTCAAACTTTTCAGAACCGTACCATTTTGACCATTATCTGAGGAGCATTATTTTTTTTCCAGGGGGGGACTCAGCACCAGCAATTGGAACCTTAGGACTTATCCTGAGTACGCCTTATACAGATTAAGTTTAAGGCCTCCTCACCTGCACATCCTTTTTATATTTCGAAGAGCAATTATGATCATCATAAAGCAAATGGTTAGAACAGAACAACTGCTCACAGGCATCACATTTCATTGGTAGATAGTCCAGCTGCTTACAGGTTTGCTCAGAGCAGTGCTGACCCATATGTGGTAACTCCATTTTTATTTGATTATTTTCTAACTGAAAAGGGATTAATTTAAAAGTTTTGAACATAAGCTAAGACAGTGAAAACATAACCCTGTATAATCTGTAGTATCATTCTTTTGTTAAAATAACCCTGTATTATTGAAGGATCTTTTATAACCAAAATATGAGGGAATTATAATTTTGAGAGGCATCCATCGCCAGAGTAAGAGGTGGTCGAGTTGCATGGTCCTGTAGGTTGTGTTGTTTTGGATAGTCTCAAACAAAATTTGGTAAAAAACTTTTAAGAATTCAAAACTGTATTATGTTAGACTAAAACAATGGAAAAACGTCCCATTAACGATCGGGTAATTTCCTGAGAACGATTTTTGGAGGTCTGTCCTGGCCGCAGGAGCCAAAGCACTCGGCCCCCTAGCCTGTCCTAGCCGCAGCGCTCGGCCCAGAAATTTTCTTAACCTAACGCTGAAATAATACAAAATAAATATTTTATGTTGAAAAAAGTTGAAATCTAGGTCATGTTCAGAATTAATAGAAAGGGAAAGGGGCGGGGTCCAAAAATCGTTTTCTAGGACAGACACAACGATCGTTACAACAAGTCGTTTATGCATCGTATTCAGTGGTTTTTAAGGGTCAAAATTTGAAGATTTGGACAAATGTAAGTAAAGAAAATGTTAGATTTAAAAAATTGAAAAACATTTGCTCCTCTTACACTGCCATATTTGGGGTCTGTCCTAGTATACGATTTTTGGACCCCCCCAGGCCCCCCCCTCCTATCAATTTTGTACATGACCATTTATTTTTCAGCAAATTTATTATTATTTTTTTTTTTGTTATTTAGGGACAGGTTAGGTTATAAAATTGATACGAGGGGGAGGGGCGCGCGGGGGGGAGGAGGTACGAAATTCCTTCTCTAAGAAATAACCACAAAATTTATAGGAGGGGGGTGTTTCCTAGATAAAGATTTTTGGGTCAAAACTATACAAGAACATTAATCCTACACAGAATTAATCTAGACAAAATTCAAGATTCCTATATGTACACTTTCCGTATCAACACTACACTACAAGAAATACACGAACTTGTTTAAGATATATGGTAAAATTATCTCGATATTTCTAGACTTTTCTTCGTGATGTTTGTTCTTTTTGACAGTCATCGTTTCATAAATAATACGCACCACTCAACAGTGTACACTAGAAAACAGCTGATTTCTCAAACAGGGTTTCAATAATAAAAAAATACTAAATGAAAAATTATCAGATTGGGGAAAAAACAGAATTATAGATTCTGTTAATCAAAAAATTTTTATCATCTATTAATTTTAAAATCATGATTGACTAAATTAATTAAATTATTTTATCCTTTAAAAAGATTAATTTCACAAAACAATACTGTATCTTTACAAAAAAGAACTTTTAATTTTTGCATAAATGGCCTCAGAAGATATTATGAAAGGCTGAAGTGAAATTAATACCTCTAATAAATCTTTTCTACGAACTACTCCTACTTAAAGAGGACAAAAACAAGGGAATTGAAAAGGCTTTCCTGCTCTCCTATTGGTCGATTTTATCAAAATCCTGAAATTTGATTGGTCAAACATTCACAATCCTTCCTCTGATTGGTCAGGTATTCGTTGAGATCTGTTGCTATTGGCTCTCCCGGCACTGCAATGGGTTTACAGATGCGATGTTCGGCTTTTACTGAAAGAAAAGTGAGTAAAGGAAAAAATAACTAATGTAAGAAGAATTTAAAGGTTATTATGAACCCAGGGGGTCCGTTACAACCACCTCAAACAACCTCGATCACTGCGCCGACATCGAATCAGCAAATATCGATAATTCAACCTTCTCAAATTCAAAACAACGGCCAGTACTTTTATCAAATTGTGAATCCACAAGTTCAACCTCAATTTTCAGTGATCGGTCTTCAGGGACTACAAGGACTGCAAGGACTCTACCCTTATGGACTTGTTCAGAACGGACTAAAACCCACTCCTGTCCAAGGATTTCAAGTGTTGCAAGGTCCCCAAAATGTCTCAAATCTCCAGCTTGCAATCCCCCAATTACAAGCCGTACATGTTCAAGCTTCCCCGCAGCTGTTCATCCAGGCAGGAGAGCTGCAGCATCAGGCTGCCCTCCCACCAGGAGCAGCCAGACTTGGTGAAAATACAGGTATGAGTTCTAAATTTATTAATTATGCCCAACTCTGCCATTATAACGGTATTAAAGTCAAAGAGTCGGAACCGAGGGAGGGGGGTGGCTTGCTCCCTTCTCTGCAAAACATTTTGAAGGTGAACTAAAGGGATTGTGAACTTAATGTCAAGTGAATTCATTGAGAGAGTGGCATGTCCGATTCACAACGGTACCTTTAAAAGCTTAATGTCTGATAAATTAGAGAACAACATTTTTGTTTTTAAAAACTATCATTAACTGAGGGGTGAATACTATTAAATAATAATTAATGATTGAAGCCTGCCATTTTATACTAAGTCAGTGTGTGTGGGGGTGGGGGGGGGGGTAGGGTGATAGAAAGTGTCAAAAGATACTTATGTTTTTTAATCAGATGTAGGAGAAGTGAAAAGACGAAGTTTATCCAAGCAGAAAAACAAAAAGAAGAATGAAAAGAAACAAACAATAAAGATGGAAGAAGATGAAGCTGTTAAAGGTAATAGAAATTAGCGGAAGTTTGAAATCATTTCTCCGAATACTTCAGGATTGTTTGTTTGTCTCTGTAGTTTCATTCCTCTTGTTAATAACCCTGTATTTTTGAAGGATCTTTTTTTTTGAGGCTAGTAAACTAAATTTGGGGAAATTAAAATTTTTAGAGGCAAATAACAAGTATGAGTAGATGCTAGTTGACTACATGTTTGTATACTTATATGTTTCAGTGTTACCTGACTACCTAAAGAATAACTTGGATATTATATTTATCAACCCGAACCCGTCCCTACACTCTGCCTGGTCTGGTAGATACTTTGATGGACCTGGAGAACAGTTCTGGGACGCTCTTTTCAATGCAGGTCTATACAAGGAGAACATTTTTTTACCGAGGGGGGGGGGGTAGATTTTTAATTAAGACATTCAACTATACTGCGGATCTTTGGACAATCGGTAGAAATTCAATTTTTTTTTGGTGGAACAGTTTATCATGCAGTTGGACAAGCTTTTATTCCGAGCATTTTAACATTCAAGAGCGGCCTTAAAGTTTTTCAGAACTTTTGTCATTCTTAAATAGACTAGGTTTTATTATAGCAACAAATTAATCTTTATAATCAAAAAATTAATATTTCCACTTTTAACAATCTGCATAAACCTTCCTTAGGTTTCACTGAATTTGCACAAACCTATTTGGGTCCGATTGGTACAGCCGTTTTCACGCTTTTTTGTTGTTTTATACAAACAGACAAGCCAAATTTATCTAAAGAAGCTTTTTTACTCGAAATTTAAGAAGAGTATTTAAAACAATATAATTCTGTCTGATAACATTTTTTCTTCTTTTCTAGGTCTTGTATCTAACCCGACAAAAGCTTGTGATGATCACAACTTGCTAAAACAAGGGAATAATTATTTTTGAATAATTAATTTTTTATTTTAAATTATCCCATCACGAACTTTTTTTCACAAGGTTTTAAACAAAATATATTAGAAATTTTTCAAATCCTTTAAACCAAACTGAAGAGGAATATTTTCATGAACACAGTTAATAATTGAACTTATTTAAAACCAGGAATTGGATTTACAAACATTGTTGCGCGCACAATCCAGAGCGCGGGAGAAATATCCCGTGAAGAGCTGATGGAAGGATCCAGGCTGCTTCGTGCCAAACTAATTAAATTTAAACCTAAGGTAGAACATTTTAATATTAAATCTGATTTTGAGCAAAATAAGTTTTTCAACGAAATAAATTGTTATCACTTTGGTCCTTCTCAGTGAAAATTATAAAGACTAAATTAAGAACATCGGGAATTCTTTTCTTATTTTTAAATAACTTTCTTGATTTTGTAAAAAAATGTAAAATTTTCATAAACTAAGCTGCGCAGTGCGCACCATCTTCGACTCTTAACTTTAAATTGATGCTCTTTTATTTTTTTTTTTCGTGAATTTTGAAAACTCTAAATGGTTAAATTCTGATCCTCCGTAATCCTTCTCCTCGGGGGTAATGTAAGTTGCCCCTACAGCCTTGGTCTCGATCGGTTTAGCCGTTATGACGTTAATTAGACTCTAGCAAACAAACATGCCAACAAATAAAGTATATATAGAAGTCTAAAATTTAAGGAAAATGTTTTTATTATTGGAGCCAGCAACTAGTGAAGTATTTTGATTTCATCTGTCTGTTCCACAGTTTATATTCCGTTCCTGTTGTCTCGACTTCCATAGTTTTTTGATTTACTAATATTTTCTATTGTGATGATCATCTAGATTGCCGTGTTCTACGGTAAACTGATCTACGAGGTGTTCTCGGGCAGGAAGAAGTTTATGTTTGGTCTTCAGCCGGAAAATACACCAGGTGTCAGGGGTGCGGGAGAAAACACAGGATAGCCCGGGGGGGGGGGTTAAACTACTGACAATACACAAAAGGTCGTCTTCCTGATAGCTACTGCCAACTGTTAAAAAATCATTGGGGCTTCAGCTAGTTCATTTCCTCGAAATGATTATTGACCGGTTAATTTATTTATTTATTTATATAAATCTGAGATAAAACAACAGTTTTAATATTTTAAACATGAACAGTAAACAGTAAACAATTTGTCGGATCATAAAGTGTCCTAAATCTGAAAGGCAATGTATCAAAACAATTCTTATGAAACGTTTTCTAATATTTAATACCGCTAATAATTTTTTTATCATATTATTTTTGTAGGTTCTGATATAGTTGAGTGGGTGATCCCAAGCACCTGGGCTCGCGGGACCGGTCAACTTAAAGATGGAGACGAGGGATCAGGCTCATATTCGTTATTCTTGTGAACAACATCAATATTCAATATTATATCATATCTGTTCGGTTCCATAGTAGTAAAGCTATCATGTAAGAATTCCCATTATTACACGGTTCAGGAGGAACAATTTTAATATTGTTCGCTTCCTTGCGTTTAAAAATGCTTATTATTACACTGTAGGTGTAGAATNATAGTGATAATAGTGATAATAGTTTAAAGAATACATCAAGATTATTTCATCTCGTTTAAGAATTTCCATTATTACATTTTTTTCCTCATAAGATTATCATATTCTCATTGTTATGATATATTATTCAGTCATCATTATCATCTTCATCACTGTCATTGTCAGAATTGTCACTTACAATCATATGTAATCATGACATGTTGTCATATTGTCCTACTTTGGCGCCATTTTGGAGCAAAACTTTAATTTAATATTTACAAGATTTCTTGTTTGCAACGGGTTCATTAACTGGGATTAACCACTTCTCTTCAGCTTAATTGCGGAGCCCAAGAGAAGTGGTTCAACTATGTTTGCGTGGTTCAGCTACTTCTTGCTGTTTATTAAATCTGGTACTAGGGGAGTTCCCTTGAGCACGAGTTTTCATATTAATCATCATTTTGGAATTGTGTTTTAGGTTAAAAAAACGTGCTTTTGTTCAAAAAAATTCTTCGTGAATCCTCATATTTTCTCTTAACCGGATTCAGGAACAAAATTACTGCACTGCCGTTCTTATTGTCTGTTATGTTTAAATCTGAATATGACCTTGATGTGAAGGTTCCATATTTCTCCGCACTTAAGAAATATTTGCACTTTCTGAAAGGAATTCAAACCAGGTAAATATCTTGAGTAAATTTAAGTGTTCGAAGGTTTCTTTTTCTCACTCTTTAAAAAAAAAATAACCCTCTGTCCTTCTCTCGATTTCTTTTTTTCCCAATTCTTATGGGGGAGAGGGCTATGCGGCCATTAGCCCCGCAATCTCCTGTTCGAACCCAGTTAGCTTGCAGAACCCTGTCCAAAGCCCGAGAAATCCTGCTCGAACCCCGCAAAAGACTGTTCTTATTTGTGCAGTTAATTTTATCCCCCTTCCTCCCCTCCCATGCACTTGTTCCTCATATTCGTCATATAGGTCTCCTAGATTAATCTTGAAACAAGTGAGAAAAAAAAGAAAATAAGCCGCAATATACAAATAAACTAGGGGTGTATATTTTCTTGAAAAATAATTTTACTTCCCCCCCCCCTCATGATAATGATGTTTCCACCAGAACTTATTTTTATGGTCTTATTCTCTGAATTTGGGGAACATTTTTTTTTGAGGGGAATTAATTTTACGTATCAAAAAGATGAATTTGATGATAAATTTTTCATTACCCCCTCCCGCTCCCCCTATTGCATAAAAATCCATTNTAATTCTAATAATTAATAATTATATACCTCTTCATTTTTCAGGCCTCCTGACTCTGAGCTAATATTCTCGAGTCCCTCTAAGAAACCATCCTCGAAGAAGGTGCGAGAGGAGTTTATCCTGCGTAAGGATGAAATCCTGATGGGAGAGTTCAAAAGTAAAGGAGATTCACCTGAAAAACCTTCTCCTGGGAAAAAGGAGGAATTGCCGAGTACATCTGTTCGAAATTTCAACTCAGGGACTGAAATCAAAGCTTCTTTAAAGGTATTGACAAATTATATTTTGTTTTCCTTCAGTTTTTGTATGATAAAAGGGTGTCATACTCCCGGAATGCCCTTTTTAATTACACATTTCCAAGATGAATTAAGAAATAAGAAAGTTAGCGTAAACTGAAGTTCCGCCCTCGAGGCAATATTCGGCCTGACCTCGCATCCTTCAAATGGCAATAACTTTTTATTAATTAAGATATAAAGCTAATTTAAACGCCATTATTTTTCTAGATCTTTAAGATCAAGTTTTATGAAAAGATTTTTTTATTTTAGTTTTTGAATTTGCTCACAAATCATATTTTAACCTTTTGACCCCGATTTTCTTAAGAGGCCATCCTCCACTTTACGCAAATTTTATTTAAAGATTCCCTATAATATATTAAATTATCACGAAAATTTTCATTAACTGGCAGTTATTTGTGTTGGAGCTAGAGCTTTGCAACCCTAATTTTAGTCCATTTTCTGCACGTATTCTACCACGGTCGTCTTTCTTATAAACATTTTCTGTCTCATTAGAAAAGTTCGCTTTGCTATCATAAATTTCAAAAAAATTAGAGGATGACCTAATAAAAAAAGATCGAGGTCAAAAAGTTAAAATATAGTTAGTAAGCATATTTAAAAAGTGAAATCAACAAAATCTTCTACACAAATTTAATCTCAAAGTAGCGAGTAATAAAATAGCGTTTAAACTAAGTAATCAGAGGCTACAGGATCCTGAAATTTTGGATTTAAGGTTTTCTGATAATATGCCAGGTGAAAGCAAAATTTGAAGAAAATCCATCACATTGACTTCCATGATTTTCAAAAACGGACTGAGTTCACAAAGCATATGGCTCCGATCGGTTCAGCCGTTTTGACGTTTTTTGGATTCAAACAAACAGACATATGAAAAGCAAAGTATATATAAAGAAGATACTTATTATAGATGGACGACAGTTCTGATGATGAGTTAGAGATGCCAGTTCTTCAAGCTGAGATTCCTTTTCCAACCAAACCAGTTCAAACCAACCAATCTTCTCCACTTCAATCCATCAATCCGGGGCCCAAATCCAAACCACCGCATTCCAAACCGATAAACCAAACTAATTCTAGCAAACCAACCAAACAAGTTTTCACTCCCAAAACTGAAACTTCTTTTAGTACAAAATCATCTTTTCCGCAGACATCAAAACCAGTGAATACCAAGAATCCTAGTCCAAAGAGAAATTTAACAAAGCAGGTTAGTATTTTTTGTCTGGGGTTTTCGTATGAAAAACTCGACTCTGATCTCCAAACTGTCTACTACATTTTATATTTTAAAAAATGTAAAATGTTTTAAATGATTGCAAAGGTATATTTTAAAGGATTGCCAAGGTATATTTTAAATGATTGCCAAGGTATATTTTAAAGGATTGCCAAGGTATGTTTTAAATGATTGCCAAGGTATATTTTAAAGGATTGCCAAGGTATATTTTAAAGGATTGCTAAGGTATATTCTAAAGGATTGCCAAGGTATATTTTAAAAGATTGCCAAGGTATGTTTAAATGATTGCCAAGTTATATTTTAAATAATTGCCATGGTATGTTTTAAATGATTGCCAAGTTACGTTTTAAATAATCGCCAAGGTATGTTTTAAATGATTGTCAAGTTATGTTTTAAATAATTGCCAAGGTATGTTTTAAATGATTGCCAAGTTATGTTTTAAATAATTGCCAAGGTATGTTTTAAATGATTGTCAAGTTATGTCTTAAATAATTGCCGAGGTATGTTTTAAATGAATGCTAGGGTATATTAAAAGAGTTTCTAAGGTTTATTTTAAAGGTTTGTCAAGATTTATTTATGCGAGTGTTAACTGCTCAGTGCTTATGTTTATTTTGAGTGAATGCTAAGGTATATTTTACGCGATGTCATTTTTTGAAGCGATTGCCAAGGATTTTGAAATACATATTTAAAGTGACTCTGCTGAAATAAGAAAAAAATTACTTTTAAATTTAAAAATGTGTCAAAAAAAAGGGGGATGGGGTGTTGCCACTCGTTTTACAACATTTTATTTTTTGTTCAGGAAAGGGATGAAGGAAGCTCCACTAGTAGTTGGCAGGAGAGCTACGAGAAACCTAAAACCAGTGAGAAATGTTATAAAAAACGAAAAATCAGTCTCTCCTCTTCCTCATCCTCTGACAGCGACTCCGAAAGGGAGGCTCAAGCTTTGGAGGACACAAATGCTTTGTTCGAGAAGCTTATTCAGTCAAACCCTGACAAAAATTCAAAATGGGGTTCGGCCTCCAACTTGAAGAAGATGGTGCCCCCCTCCACCAACTCTAAGGGGATGGTGTCCCCCTCCTCTAAAGGGATGATATCCCCTTCCTCTAAGGGGGTGGTTTCCCCCTCTTCTAAGGGGGTGGTGTCCCCCTCAACTAAGGAGGTGATGTCCCCCTCCAATCGACAAATCTCTCCTAGAGGATCACCGTTAAAGAATTCACCAGACAAATGCGAAGGTTTACATTTAAACTTATATTTTATCTAATTGACTTATTTAGGAGTTCAGTATTTTTAACAGAATTGTAATAGTAAATTTTTGTTTTACAAATTCTGTTTTTATACTTACAAAATGCATGCTTTTCAATGAAAAAAGAAATCCACAATGCAATTTTCATTAAGTTCCTTGTGTAGGAATGACCTCTATCTGGGGAAAAGATGTGTCTTCCTTTGACCTCCCTGAGGACTATGTCAAGGACTACCTCAAGGAAAAGAAGGCAACAAAGCTTGAGGAGGGGCCGGAGCTTGAACCCACCTTTCTTGAAACCTCTCCTAACCTTCTAATGATTGTGCCTCTCAGCTCTAAGGAATTAGTCAATAAAATTTGAAATTTAACAAGTGTGATCATTATCAATGATTTTATGCACAAAAGGGCTGAATGGACAACTGGGATTTTTGTTATCCCCTTTTAACCTACTTTACCTACTCATAATTAACCCAACAGCAGGATGCAAGTTACTGAACTATTCCTTGGGACGCCTTTATAATAGAATTCTGCGAAGATAACGTAGAAAATTCGAGCATTTTCGTCCTAAAAGACGTTAAAATTGTATTGATTTTTCGAGAACAATTTTACTGAATCCGAGATTGGTCTTGTGAACCCTCGGTAAAATATTTGTGAAAAATTTATTAAATAACATGCCTTAAAATTCCCAAGTGGAATACTATTTTGATACTGTAAAATGATTTAAGTAAAATTTCAGAAAACTCACATTTATCATTTATTGCATTCTTGGGGTTAAATTTGATCTTTTTTTACCGTAACATTAGTTTATTTTCTATTCGATTTTCGAGGAGAGAGATGATTTTTTACCAGCGTATATTCAGGGTGTCCAACTTGTACGATTTGTAATATTTTTTTTATTTACCAAAAGATTGTGCGGATTTTCAGGGATATACAATGTACATTGTACAGATATTTACGGAATTCAATGATTTTTTACCTGAAAAATGTGATGATACAATGTACATTGTACAGATATTTACGGAATTCAATGATTTTTTACCTGAAAAATGTGATGATTCTGGGTTAAATTTCGTAAACGTGAGCAAATATTTGCCTGGCCTTCTTTTTATTTTTTATATATTTTCTTATTTTCAATTAATTTCTTTTTTTCTAAGTATTTATTTAAAAAAAAATAATTTCTTATTTTCTTTTTATTTTCTTATTATATTGCAGGTGTTGAGATAGAAGATATTCTTCAGTCTGGGTTTGATGGGGAGGAAGGATATACATTGTCTCCGATATCCACGGGGTCTACTCAGTCTAGATTAAACAAAACAAAGGTTAGAATAATTCTTCTCTTCTAAATAAAAACTACCCCTTTCATATCTACCCCTCCTCAATCCTAATCCCTTTTAAGTGGATTATTTAAACAAATTTATTGATAAAATAATTGAATTTTTCCGAAAATCTCAGAAATCTAGGTAACTTTCTAGAGAACGATTTTTGGACCCGTATGTTTTAAATAATTGCCAAGGTATGTTTTAAATGATTGCCAAGTTATGTTTTAAATAATTGCCAAGGTATGTTTTAAATGATTGTCAAGTTATGTCTTAAATAATTGCCGAGGTATGTTTTAAATGAATGCTAGGGTATATTAAAAGAGTTTCTAAGGTTTATTTTAAAGGTTTGNCCATCCAACAAAATTAATAGGAGGGGGGGGAGGGGGCCTGGTCAAAAAATCTTTCTCTAGGACGGACCCGAAATCATTTTGGGCGTGGAAGGGGTCAAAGTTGTTCAACAATGACTTATGAGTAAATACTAAATATCCTTCTTTACTTCCTAGGGCTCACCTGTTGGGAAGAACAAGAAATCTCGGAATAAGTCTACGGACAACCTTCACCCAAACCTCCTTCCAGAGGATTATCTAGACGAGGTCATTGGTCAATATTTCAACACGGAGTCCAGTGGGGAGGATGAGGAAAAGGAGACTAAAAAACCGGTTAAAAAGTCCAAGAAATCTGACAGCGAGGATTCAACGGACGACGACGTTCTAGAGGCAAAAGTCCGTTTACGGCCTCCAGCAAGCTTCTACTCAATGGACTTCTTGGACGATTTGGAAGCCGAGGTCGGGAAGAAGGAGAAGGTTAAGACGGAGCTAGAGCTTGAGGTTGAGTACAAACATATTCTTTACGGGGGAAAGAAGAAGAAGCCTGTTAAACTTGGACTAGGGAAGAAGAAGAAGAAAAAAGAAGATTCCAAGGAAACAACTGAATCCAAAAAACCTGGTGTAAAAAAGACTAAGAGAAAGGGACGACGGAAAGTTGTCAAGAAACATGATCCTGTACCTGAACCTGCTGAACCTGTTCTCCCGCGTACGCGGAGTTCCGGACCTGTTCCAGCCTCTCCTAGTCCTATTTTGTCCTCGTCGCGATCTTCTACAAGAGCAACCAATCCAACATCTCCTATTCCATCCTCTTCAAGATCATCGATTAGATCAACATCTCACCTGTCCTCGGCCAGGTCGTCATCCAAACCATCCCCAACAAAACAAATAAACCTATCCTTCTCTCCGACTCCTTCTGAACCACTTCCATCACATGCCTGGTCGGGAAAGAAGGCGAGCACTAAAGCATATGCCAGAGAGGATATGCGAGAGAGGATTAAACGTCCTTTCACAAGCAGTAAAATAGAGGTACCTTCTTTAAGAGACATTTGGTCAACTAATGATTAATTGAGGTTTTTCTTAGCTACAGTTGGACCCATACAACTGTGGAATAGGAAACCCACATTTAAGCAATCTCATGGATGAAGCGGGTCTTTGTAGACTGTACAATTGCGGTGTTTCATGTCCTTTGATTAGACCATAAAACCATGACTGAGTCGTAACACTCGTCTAGATTTTCCACAGTTTTACTGGTCCCACTGTAGTTTGCCGTTGATTTGATTTGATATGAACTGATCAGATTTGTCTTACGATTTTGTTTGATTAATTTTAGTACTATTTATGAAAATGATAATTATCTAATATTATTGATTTTGTTAAGGATGTGACTGGAAAGTATGGTGAAGAAGAGGAGCTAGTCAGCTGTGGTATCTGTGATCAGATAGATCCTCCACACGAGGATCTTTCTCTAGATGAGGTTGAAGTTGAGTGGGTTGGATGCGACTGTTTTAGGTAATAATAGAAATTCTTTCTTTTATAACACTAAATTTGGTTCTACAGATACAAAAATATATAAACAATTAATTAAGAACTCCACAAAAGTGTGGGATATCTTTTTGCATTAACAGGTCGAGGGACCGCAACATTGTGGCAGGCTTTTCGCTGAAAATAACATACTACATTTTATTAAAATTAACTTAAATGAGTAGCTTAAAATTAAAACAAAAAAAGCTTTTCGCTTTAAATACAGTCGGTTGTTATATAAAACGTCCCTAAGGATTATGTAATTTGTAACTGTTAAAACTTGCCTTTAATATTGTCAAATATGATTATTAGTTTTGATGTAACCTGAACCGTTTACATTAAATTTTTTTACCTATAACCATAGGGAGAACCAGAAAACTGTGAGACATGATAACGACGTTAAAGCAATCTTTCAGAGTTTTCATTAATTGTTTCAGAAACAAATAGGTTTACAATATAGTAGCTTAAACAATAAACATCCCATTTAGTTTAATTAAACTAAGTCAACTTTGATCACTTTGGGTTTCACTGTAAATCTGAAGAAAATTTTCCTCAATCAAACAAACAACCAAACAAACAAAAATCTATTAAACTTTATCGTTCCATATTTGGCAAGTTCTTTCATCTTGAATTATGATTACTTCAAGAACAAATCTATACGTCTATGGCCAAAAGAAAATGCCGAATTTTTTTTTTGAAGATTCTTTTATCAATAATATTTTGTATTTGTCTAGATGGTTCCACAAGCCGTGTACCAAGCTGATGAAGTTTACGGAGAAGTTTAGTTGTAGAAGTGTTAAAATGAAATGCTTGGAGACGCCACCTGCTCCCGTCAAAATAAAACCGGTTCTGCCGGTCGTCAAAATGGCCGTCGTCAAATTTGTTCCTGATATACCGCGATTTTTCATCAAGAATATCTGACACAGTCCCAAGAAAAGGCGTAAAAATTATCGCTTTTAATTGAACATTGTCACTTGAATTTAATTGTAAAACTGACGCAAGCTGTATTGTACTGGACTGACGCTGAACCTTGTCACTTGAATTTAATTGTACAACTGACGCAAGCTGTATTGTATTGGACTGACGCTGAACCTTGTCACTTGAATTTAATTGTACAACTGACGCAAGCTGTATTGTACTGGACTGACTCTGAACTTTGTCACTGGAATTTAATTGTACAACTGACGCAAGCTGTATTGTACTGAACTGACGCTGAACTTTAGTGTGGTGAATCTCAAGATCAAGCATTGATCTCCATCCTATGCTGCAGACCTTCGGATTAATTTAATTCCTTCTCGATATCTCGTAAGGGGTTATACCCTGGAGAGATAATTTTAATTGAGGGATCAAGTTCTGATTCTGAGAATATATTTAAAGGGACAGACCGGCTATGTAAGGTAGTTGAACTGAGTATGCACACTGCACAGTGTTGTGGAAAGCTTCTTTAGGATTCATTTGAGACGCATAAAACTTTTTAAAGATCTGTAAATCCTGAGTTTGAGCGCGAGTTCGACGTTCAAAACTCCTACTTTGGGGGTGGATACGTTTTCAGAATCGGTTTTTATTAAATTATTTAATAACGACGACGAAAAATAAAGTAAAAATTATACAGTAATCTAATTAGATGGTTAGGAACATATTTCTCAAAAGAAATTTGTCAATAAATCAATGCTAGAATCAATCAATTTCGTTTTCATCATTATATTAAATTTCTTATTTTCTTTGAATTTATTTGCAGATTTTTTTAATTCTTCAAAAGTCGTCTTTTCAATAATAATTCCAGAAAATCTGCAGAAAATCTTTGTAAATAATGATAAACAGATTAATGAGAAAATAGAAACTAATAACTGAACTAGATTACTTATTTTCGATGATAAGATTAATTTTTATGTTCTCAATCTGTTCCTAAACAACTAATTAGTTTACTGTAGAATTTTGTTTACATTTTTTGTCGTCGTTATTTAATAATTAAAAAAAAAAAGATTCTGAAAACGTATCTATCCCCAAAGTAGGACTTTTGAACCTCGGAATTTGCGCTCAAACTCAGGATTTACAGATCTTTAAAGAGTTTAATATGTCTCAAATGAATCCTAAAGAGGCTTTCTACAACACTGCATACTCAGTTCAACTACCTTACGTAGCCGGTCTGTCCCTTTAATATCGAGATCAAGTGTTTAAGATTAACGATGTACTTCACTAAAGTTCCGAACTAATCATACTTAGCTCACAGTGCGCATAGTTATTGGTAAACCAGTCTTTCTGACACATTTCTGTCTATATTCGTCTTCCCTTTATCTTACTTTTATCATCGATGTAATATTTTATATGTTTAGTAACACACTACACAGTGCACAGTGACAGATATTTATTAATATCGTAAATCTCAGATATTCAACTTTGATCATAAGATATTGTTCAGGAAATTCTTTGATTTCTTTCATGTTTTCATTGTTTTATTTTGCATTTTATGATTTAACAATTTAAACCATTGTCAAACTCACCATTATTATTATTCTACCACTATTATTCATTATTATTATTTGAAACCCACCGATCACCATTTATCATATTAATATCAGTATTAATCTAAAGATCTTATGGCAACAATTACTTCTCATATTTTTGCTAATCTATTTATAATAAAGTATTATCATTTATGTTAACCAGGCTTTTATATACGTCTTATCCTTAAAACCAGATCCGTAACAGGTAATGTTACTTCTCTGCAAAAAATATTTTTTTACATAATAATTTTTTCCTGAAGAAAAAATAAAAAATTTTTCTTTAACACTAATACAAATATTAAAGTGTAATTTTAACCCATAAAATCTTCTTTGTTATGTTATTTTTCAGTCTGAGGAGTATCTAACGAACTTTAATAAAAATAATTTTACTTGTGTTATGAGTGTTTTAACGCCTTTTGAAGCTTTTTTATTAACGGTATTTTTTTGTCGTCTTTTATCTTAAAAATTAATCTATCTTATCCTTAAAACCGGATCCGTAACAGGTAATGTTACTTCGGTCCTACAGCACTTCCGTCCTACGATACTTCGGACCTGTAGGTTGGATGAACATTCTATTTTGTTAATCCGAACTACGGAGGAACTGCAGATCTTGTCGGTAAGTATTTGACACTTCTATCATAAAGATCTCGCTGTTTCCATTAAAGATCAGAAGTGTTAATCAATTATTATAAATAGTGACTACTTATGACAAGTAAACAGGTTTATAAAACTTGGAAACATTTTCAAGCAAAAAGGAAAACATTTAGAGAAAAATTCTGAAAGTAGTTTTATTGATAATTTATAATCTTTGATTTAAGCGATATCTTTTTATGAAATTTTTATTAGATTAAGCAAATGAAAAATTCGACCTTGACAAAAAATCTAAATCTAAAACAATTTCCCAAAAAAATGTATTGCTTAAATAAAAGATTAAAATAAAATAAACCAAGTTTAATTCAGAAATGAATTTTCAAATAGCCTCCTTACTGCGTAAGAAATGTTATTGTAAAGCATAAATCTTATAAACCACTTTATGAGTCAATTTAAGTTACAAATCATGACAATCAAGAAACAAAATTAATCTGAAGTATAATTCTTGTGCAACTTGGTTAAAAAAAACGAAAAATCTACATTTCATATTAAAACCAAGAATTATAAGGAAGCTGCAGTGCTGTATAGCGGAGGCTCGTTTACTACATAGCGGAAGCTCTTACCACATGGTGGAGGCTTAGTCTGTATAGCAAATTTGGGAGGCTCGTGTCTGCATGGTGTCCCTCCCTCGTGACATATACCTAGTATTTTGTAGAGACTGAAGAAGATGAGGGAGGGGGGGGCTTGAGCCTAGCAGTATCCTGTTCGAACCTCAGTAGTTAGTAGAACCCTGCACGGAATCCCAGCAAAGGACGGCTAAAAAAAACTTCTATTTTAATTTTAATTTCAAAAATGAAAAGGTCGGGGGAATGTGCTACATACTCCTCTAAGCTTAAAAATAAAACTCAATGCTTTACAAATTTAAACTCTGTTTTAGTGGCAAACTTTGTCTTCATAGACTTAACAAATACTGATGGAATGATCACAGTGATGAATAAGTGATATGTAAAATCTTGCATATGAACGTTTTTTGCTACTTATTATGAATCATTTATTAAAGTATACCATTTATACATTATATAACATAGTGCTTAATTTGAAGGCGCTGATCTAAAGACAATAACAATTTTTTGTTTTTTTTTCTGTTAATTAAGAAATTATTCTGCTTTACCATTTCATTTTAAAATTACTTTCTGTTTTATGCTTTTATTCTAAAATTAATTTCTGTTTTATCCTTCCTTTCTAAAATTATTTTCTGTTATATCCTTTCATTCCAAAATTTCTTTCTGTTTTATCCTTTCATTCTAAAGTTACTTTCTAATTTATCCTTTCATTCTAAAATTCCAAACTAAATTATTTTTTGTCCTATTCTTTAGTTTGTAAATATTGTTGTGTCCTATCCTAAAATTCATGAAAATTTTCTTCCTTTCATATTAAACTTTTCAGTAAAATTTTAGAGATTTAAATAATGATTTAGATTTTTCATCTTTGTTATTTTTTATTGTTATTTGTTATAATTATTCACCACAATACACATGGGGTTGGAAAAAATATTTAAAATGATGTCTTTTTTATGGGAAATTGGATACATTTAGAACAGGTGTTTTTATTCATCGTCAACTTTGTGGAAGATTATATATTTAAAGTATCAATTACATGCTGAGAAAAAATAGTGCCTGGAAAGGCTTTTATCCATAGTCCACAAGCTTCTCATTAATAAAATAGGCCAGATTATCATGTATTTTTTCAAAACCAAAAGTCGTATTCAACAAAACACTTTTAGATCTCCTGATTGTTGAACAAATACTAAATCACACACACCAAGTGTAAAATGACTAGAACATTACAGAATAATAAAAAGTTTCATCAATTTTTTAAGACAGGGTCGACTTTGAAGTAGTTCAACCACGAAGAGACTGTTCATTTGTTCAACCGTGTATCATTTAATTGATCTTTGAATCGGTGATTTAAGATTTGAGCATACGTTAGTGCAATGTGCATTTGGGTAAAGTGGAAAAGGTAAAAACAAGGATTTTTCATAATTCATAAGAAGAAGTTTTTTTTGGAGAAATACAATTTTCTAGGAATAATTAGAAATACTTTTATTTTATTTGAAGTCTGGTTTCCAAATTTGCATATATTTATGTTTTTATATTTACTACATGAGTGTCCCAAAAAAAACCGTGTAGCTAGAGTCTCAATTGATTGGGACATTTTTTTATCGACTAAAAATTTCTGATCGAATGGTGTAGATTAAAGCTTTTTTATATTTTCTCAGAAAGTTTTAATCAAGTTTGAAGTTTTTGCAATTTTCTGAAAAATAATATTTTTTTAATAATAATTTTTCCTGAAGAAAAAATAAACATTTAATCTTGAACACACTAATACAAATATACTTAAGTGTTAACATTATAGCTCATATGTTTATTTATATATAGCTTATATGTTTATCTACAACACACATTTTTTTTAAAACGAAATATTTTTTATTTTCGTAAACATAGTTAATTTTACAATATTATACATATATTGTTAAAAAGTTTACACGGAAAAGGCATTTACAATATAATATTGCTATATTTTATTTATAGCTAGTGTTACAGTTAAACTATTCAAGATATTAAATTCTATGTGTCTCATTAAACAGAGACGTTTTACATAGTTTACATCAGTAAATGCAAAAAAAAAAAAATTTGGCATTTCCTTATTAAGAGAGCCTTATTAGGTTCGTATAAATCCGTAAGAAATCAGAAGTGAACATAGTGGATTCCGAGATCAGTCTGCTAGACGCATGTAATTTCGATAAGCTGAGTTGATATGAACACATATCAAGGTTGTATAATTTTAAGTCTATTGGGAATCTAATTAATCCAAACATTTAAAAAACAACCCGAGTTAAACAATAAACAAAAATTTGCTGAAATATGAATGCGAGGAAGGCTAACATTGAGAGTTAACCGCTCGCATACAGTTGACCGATTTCAGATCAGAAGGGTTGCGGTAGATTTTCAGGTAGTGTTTTGTCTGTGCTCGATTATTGAACTTGTTCTTCTGAGTTCTCTTTTGGTCTCGTGATAGGAAATTTAACACCTAAAAAATTATACCAAAAACAAGGAAAGTTCTGGGATCCCTTAAGAAAACTTATTTTACCAGAGTTCAAATCGGGTGAAAAGTAGATCCTCGAGTGGCTTAACGCAGACATTCTACCCTCAGAGCTCCGTCTAGTACACCTTGATAGATAGAGAAATACAATTATTTTATTTGTATTTTGTGGACCGGCTTCAAACAGAAATACAATTATTTTATTTGTATTTTGTGGACCGGCTTCAAACATTGTTCAACAAGTTCATCTAGAATTTAATTACATTCTAATTACTCGATATGTGCATCATCATTGGCGAGGCACTTAACTGATCTGTCTCCCACATCCAGGATGCAGGTTTTCTTAAACTGTACAGTGTACACTGTACACTGTACACTGTACACTGTACACTGTAAACTGTACAGTGTACAGGGGTTTGTGGAAAATTGTCTGATTTGAACTCTCTTATACAGATGCAATTTCATCTTTACATAAATTTTGGTTGTCAATGTGTTGGTTTGTATTCCATAAGTGTTGAACAAATTTAACCAATTGTGCCAAACAAATTATGGTTCCTCAGCTGGACAGACTAAACCAATATCTCAGGGGGGGGGGCCATATTTTATAAAAACATGTTGCCCCCGCCCCCCCCCCCCTTAAAATTGCAGTAAAGGAATTGAGTTTTTGCCACAAACTCAAATCTTCTGATCCCAATATCTTTGCAATCTGATGGTGCAAACTTTTGATATTTCAAACTTAGATTATTTTATCTATAAGTATTAATAGTTTGAAATATCTAAGGTCTACAACATTGGGTTACAAAGATATAGAGATTAGAAAATCAGAGTTTGTGGCAAAAATTCAATTCCTTTCCAATTTCTTATTTATCACATTTCGAGATTTACATATCAAAAATGAAACATTTCTATTGTGATCGATTAAGCATAAGTATTTTATCGGTAATTCAGAAATAAACAATTAAGTCGCTGTCCAATTCATTATTTGAATAGGAATTTTAACTGTTCACCAATTAAAACGAATTTTCCATAAAAAAACAATATGGAACATTTTAGCTTTTTTCACGTTTTTACATATCTAATCAAAGGTGATAATGTTGGTCATTATCTATTCTTTTTTTTAGCGCTTACTAATAGTTAAATAAATCCTTTATATTACGTGTTTAATGAATTTTTAGAGTGATAACCGGAAAACTCTGAAATGAAAAACGACGTTTAAATTCAAGCTAGGACTTAAACTAGTTCAATGAACATTAGACATAGCAATTGTACAGTGTAAATAGACCCTTTTCTCTTGAATTGTGCTTTGCTAAGTTACTAGTAAAAACATTTGCTTTGTAACAACATTAAAACAATTAAGTATTGCTATAATGTCGTCTTTATATTCCATTGTTTTCTGGTTATCACTGTATGAGAAAACAATTTTAAAAGGTATTTCAGTTCAGGTCATTTTTTCAATACTATTTTTGTTGTATATTTCATCCCTATATGCTTTTATTTCATACCATGAATTTCCTTAGGACGGGACCGCCCCCCACCCTTCCAGGAGCTCAGGGGGGGACCCGTGGTCCCTGGCCCCTCTCTAGCCCGCCCCTATGGTACCTATGCGACCTCAGGGACGTTAATATGGCCAGTCAAAGTTTAAAACTGTTGATTTTTAACAATTTTGGAAATCCGATGCATGTTTAAAGTAAAATATGCAAAAAATTTAGCTTATGGAATACGAAGAAAAATTGGCGGAAAGAAAGCAACATTTAACAGCCAAACTATTTACTATAAAATGCCTATAGGCTTTCCAAAAATTCTAAATATAGTTAGAATTTTTAAAAAGCACTTGATTTAAAGATGCATGATAATTGGACACATCATCACTGCATGCTCATAATTTTCAAAACAATTCTACAATCTATTATTTATAGTTTAACATTTCAGGTATGTGCCCGAATATTCTATAGACTTTGGACTTTACTTGATTATTAAAAGTGACTAAAATGGCTAAAATTTGGTTGTGTGGCTGGGAACTTCACAATTTCAAAATAGAAACAGGGAAATCATTTATAACTAATAGAGAAGTTCTGACTGAAAAGCCAGGAAACAGGGACTGGGGAGGACTTGAAACACAAATCCAATATACTGGAGTCTTAGGCCATCCCTGCATCTATGGATGCGTTTTCATTTTTTTTTAAAAAAGATCGTTTCGTTAAGAAAGCGACGACGAAAAAACGATCGTTTTAAAAAACGATAGTTTTTTTGAAGTCCTTTTTTGCAAAATGATCTTTTCTATAAAGCTCGTCGTTTCGTTAACGATCGTTAACGACGATTCTTCGTTAACGATCGTTAACGAAAAGAGGAGGAGAAAGGAAACCGCCTTTAGCAGTTTTAAAGAAAATATCAAGAAGTTTTAGCTCCCCCCTTCAAATAAGACGACATTCGATAAAGTTGCATTTGATTATTTTTTCAAACACGACAGTTTTTATAACGTTCGTCGTTTCGGTAACGATCGTTAACATATTTATCAATGAAAAAAAATTCAAAACGATATTTTTTTTTTTTAAATCGTATAAAAACGATCGATGATCCTTTTTATAAAAACGATCGCTGATCTTTTTTATAAAAACGATCGTTTTCAAAAACGATCGGTTTTTAGATACGATCATTTTTTCTGAAAACGAAAGATCGTTTTAGAAAATGATCGGAAAACGAAACAAAAAATGATCGTTTAAAACATTAACAACATAAACAACCCTACCTGCAACTTATGATTTGACATGATTATCTAAAAATATCCAAAATGTCGTATTATTTATCTTTTACCACATAGAATTTACAACTCATAATTCATACTTCGAATAATTTATCTAATATAAAATCTCTAATATAATACCGATTTGCAAATGTTCCGTGAAAAATATGTTAATTTAATTTCAAAAGCGGTGGTATTTTTAAGCAATATGGATTTTCCAAAACAGTTAATTTCGAATTTCTGTTTTAGCTTTGCTTTCAAATAACATTTAATCTAGTTGGGGTTTCAGNCCCCCTACTATCAGTACTTAACATTTAAGACTGTTAATCGTTTCAAACCTTTTATATTTGCAACCTGATGTTAAAGTCTTTCAAAATATGAACTCTGCTGGATCAAAATAGGCAAAGTTTTACAACATCATGATGCAAAGAAATGGGGATTAACAGATTAGATTGTTTAAGCAGGCGAGTAATCAGTTCCTTTAAAGTCCTTCATATTTTGATACATACATTTCATAATATCAGATTAATAATGCAACACCAAAAAATATATTATTATTCCTTTTAATTTATAGCTTTCAAGAACATCGTTAAATGGGAAGCAATGAATTTAAAGGAAAATATTTTTTATCACATTTTTTGTTTAATGTTAAGTTTTTACTTTACTAGGGGTTTAATTGACCAATTTAAATAATAAAATAAGGACTTTCTTGATCAAAACCCCTCAGTAAAATAAAAATAAATATCTTAAAACGCACAAAAACCGTATAAATATTTATGAACACTTCTTATACATTGTTATACATACATGAACCATTGTAAACAATATATTGTTAAATAGTTGTTGATGAAATCTGGGCTGCATCTTTACAACTTTTAAATTCGGTGATGGTGATGGACCAAAAGTAGATGTTAGTTCCACATTTATTGAAAATATATTTCGGTCTGGGTTGACCCTCGTCAGTTCTAACGATATAATAATAACCATCAAAATCAACATGAAAAAGGTTATTAAAAAAAAAATTGGGGGCTGTCAAATGGACATAAGGGAAACGAACTCAGATTATGAGATGGAAAAAAGATAATTTGAAAATATTTACTTTTAAAAAAAATTTTTTCAAACAATTATTATCTTTACAACGTTATACATCGAAACTGAAAATAGACATTAATTTATTATATATAAATAGTGATAACCAGAACCACTCTGGAATAGGAAGTCGACTTTTAAACTCTAGATAGGATTTGATTTGATAACTTACTAGTAACAATATCAAATGCACATCAGTATTGCTTTCATGTCGTCTTCATGTTCTACAGTTTTCTTGTTTATTACGTTTATAAACAAGTTCCAAATACAACAGATTGTAAAGTGCATGGTTGTATATATGAAGTCTAGACTGTATCTCGGAAACTCTTTACAACGAATTACATCAAAACTGCATATAGACACAAGACATTCATCCTTACATGTACATATATACATATATATTTATAACCAATTAAGCCATGATACAAATTGTTTAGTGAAAGCAGAAATGTACACTTAATATACAGGGTGTTCCAATAAACATGGGAATTCAGTGACGAATTCGATATCGTCTTTTAAATAATCTGTAAGAGTTTCGTCTGCTATGTTCAAAATTTGTTTGTTTATGTTTTGACTGCATACGGTTGTAATTAGTAAAACAAGAAAATTACTGTATACCAAGAATGTAATGCTAGGAAAGTTAATTGCAGTTGGGTATACTCTGTGTACATATTGAAACCTGTTCTCCCTGGGCGGAATTTGTAAACAAGAATAGATGCCTCAGTGTTCGTTTAGTATCCGAGGAGGTAAAGGCATTGAATTTTGATAATTTTGATAATTCACATAATAGTTTCCTATGACCAGAATATTTCATTGGTTATTTATGTGAAAGATGGATTCCATGTAAGGCTTCGACATCCGTCTTGTGTTTACATTACCGCTCAGTAACAGTACACTGCAGTACAAAAAATGCGTACACCTCTGAAATAACTTTCCTTTTATTAAATCCTTGCTGTATACAAACAGAGTAAACTTGTCCGTCTTCACTGTTCATCTTGCGGAGACATTATAGACACATCTTTACAGTCTTTACCCTTTTCATAAAACTCTAGCAGACATAATAATATTATGGGTTTTGAAATTAGGTATTACAATGTTAATTCATAACAAAGACGATATCCAATTCGTCACTGAATTACCATGTTTTTTGGGACACCCTGTATCATGATTTAAAAAAAAGTATTTTATAAACGAAGCTGAACTTTTGAATTAATAGTGAAACGTTCGGTTTATTTTCAACATTTCAATATTTAAATTCAATGAATCAGATTTCCATATTTATAAGTTTCTTCCCTTCTTTTTGAGTCCAGGTTTTTATCTCATGAAAAATATCAAACAAAAAAGAAGATATCTAAAATTAAAAATTAATAGAAAAAAAATATTATTTTCTTGTCTTTATGTCTTTATTTGTCTATTTGTCTTGTAAGTTTTTATCAGTAACAATTAAAAAAAAAAACAGAATATTTCAATTATGACTTCAAATAAACTACGTGTCGGAATTGCTGATAGTTCAATCAGCTGCATGTCATAAAATAAAATATGTTCTTAATTGTAATAAACTTATTTCTGTGTTTATATTAAGCACAACATTAAATACGAAATGTAAGGGTTAATGTGGTCGTAAAATTCACCCCAAAAATGCATTTTACAACCCCCCCCCCCTTCTCCCAGCTCCCGTCTCAGCCGAATTAGCTCATAAATAGGACATTAAAAGTTTTAAAATTGAAAGTTTTAACTGGGTTGGGTGCAGTGTGTTGAGTATCTTTAATGACTTTACCGGCTTTCAAATATTTTGTCCAGTGTCAAAGCTGTGAACCATAAATCACTTGACCTTCCAACGGTCAAAGATCAAAATTACACATTGCACATACACTCAATACAATTTCACTTTCATTTTGTGCATTTTGCACTACATTTGCGGAATTTTTGACATCTAACTTGGAGAATTTTCTTGCTTCGTCATTGGCGGCATTTGCCGCCAAATCTGCTGAGTCATTGATCTTCGTGTTGTTTATATCTGTGGCGGGTAGACTGATGATAAATATTTAGCAAAAACCATGTAGAGTTAAATTTGTAGATAACATAGACAAATTCGGATCTACAGGGTAGTTGCTTCTGGAGAAGTTTCCGGCACCCTTTGCTCTGAAAAAATACTATTGGTTACTGACAGCTTTGGTTTTCAGTATTCTTGTTTCAGATTTCTGCCGGCAGATGTCTATACCATCGAACATCACTTTTAATTGCAATTCCCCATGTTATCTTTCGGGATTGCGAGAAAATAAATATTATTCTTTTAGGTTGAAAATGTTATTTTACAGAGATATTTAAAATCTTAGATATTTGAATCATCCCTCAAAGCCCGGATATTTTAAAAAATGTAAGCACCATTTTCCATCAGCGGGGGACATTACCACCGCTGGCCTGACTATTCGACATCAAAATGTGCCGTCCAAAAATATGGATGGGGATTTTTAAAATACGAAACAAGATTTTTTTAACGCGTTTTCGACCAATTTTCACAATTTTTTGATGGCGTCTATTTATTGCGTCTTCGAAAATTAAATACATTTTTCTTACTTTGTACATATCATTGTAACCTGATATAACCTTTATTATTTCAAACATTGCCAAATATAACAGAATGTATTGTTCAAATAGCAAATATAAAGGGTCTACAACATCAGGTTGCAAATATAAAGAAATTAGAAAATATGATTATTAATATTAAAGAGACTGTACAATTTTTTAAAATGTTCAAGGTTCTTCACTTTCTGGCCAGTTGGAAAATTGCCCTAATTGTCAAATGAAGAATTACAAATCATCAAATTTCTTCTATAATCACCAATAAACTTTGAATCTTTATCTTCCTTCGAAAACATCATTACATGTTATATAGGTTATCTATGGCTATTGAGTAATACGTAAATCAATTGTCAGTTGTTTAAACCATAGTATTTTAAAAATATATTTGTTAATTTTATATATTTTCAGAAAATTTAAGATTTGCAAGAGAAAAAATATAAATTATATGCAAGCCTTTTCAGATCTAACAAATAGATTTTGCCTCTTTTTGCAATAGCAAACAATTCTAGAGCTAATAAGGCAACTAGCTAGCTTTAAAAAATATACATTTCAAAAACTTAAATGTATTTGATTAAGAAATCATGATTAAACATAAGTTAAAAAGCAACCAATGCAAGTAATCCTAATTTAAAAAAAATTTATTTCCTCAATTTGCAATAAAATTTTGATAATTTAGGATGGAACTGTCTGCANGGGGGGGGGGTAGATTACCCCATGAAGGGGTATAGGGGGAAGTAATCACCAAAAAGGGTTGGGGGTATTCACTAACGGGCAGTAAGAATATGGGGGTAAAGTGTATGCCCAAACTTCTTAAATCTTACAATATATTGTTAAATATTTTTAAATCAGCCCGTGTCTAAATTTTAAGAAATCACATATTCGAAGGTATTTTTATAACATCAGACAAAATTGCCAGTTTAACTATGAGGAATATCAAACTTGTTTTATATATGAATTTTATTAAGGATTTGATTTACGCTTTTAAACAGATTTTACGACAAATGTCTGTAAAAGCTTTATGTTTTTATGCCTGTATACATATATTTATTTCCATATAAATCAATGTTATTTATCCTGTTTGTTTGTTCCGAAATTCATAGATGTTATGAAAACACTGCAAGGACCCATAACACTGTGGAATACGAAGACGGCATTTAAAAATATTCGATGTATTTAAATTGTTAAAAGTACGTATCAAAGGAATTAGTTTCACTTTGCACTTTTACCTGATTCTAAAGCTTGAAAATCAACGTATTTATTAATTAAAATAAGTCTGTATGCGACGCACTAAAATACGATTTTTCATGTTCATGGTATACTGGTATACTGGTATACTGGTATACTGGTATACTGGTATACTTGTATACTCGTATACTCGTATACTGGTACACTGGTACACTGGTACACTAGTACACTGGTACACTGGTACACTGGTACACTGGTACACTGGTATACTGGTATACTGGTATACTGGTATACTGGTATACTGGTATACTGGTATACTGGTATACTGGTATACTGGTATTCTGGTATACTGGTATACTCGTATACTGGTATACTGGTATACCCCCTACAGTCAGCTAAATGTGAATGGAATGATTTGGTGAATTCCTAACAAAAGCTCCAATATACAATACTTAGACAATTTAACAAATTCAACCCAAACACGGTCACAGGGATGTACTCCTAGGTCAGTAGCTACACACCTAAAATAAGTTATAGGTCATTTTTATATAATTACAAAAAGCCTAAATAATTTTTCAAGAAATCAATTAATTCAATAATTCAACATTTGACAGTGGTCATTTTTCTAGACACATATTTCGTACTTTTTCCACCAAGATTTGGTTGGTTCAAAGATACGTATTGTATGATGATATATATATTGTGTAGTGGTATAATAGCGTGTTTTATTATAAATATACATACAGGGTTACCCACAAAGAATGAAACTTTAAAGACGACCTGAAAATCATAAAACAAGGTGAAATTAAGTACTTTCGCCTTAAATATTGTCTTTTAATGGCCTATTTATATTTAGAAAAAACCTATCTAAATCAACAATTGAAAATGTTCTAGAATCATTTAATCAATTCAAAATTACAATCCCCTGCCCTACTGCCCCATTTCCAAAATACACCCTCCCTCTGACGTTCCAAATCATCCACCCCTAACATCCAGCTCCAAATAAACCCCACTACCCCTACTACCTTTCAAAGATGAACATTTCATAGACAAAAAAGCAGAGATAGAACATTTCATAGACAAGATATTTATTTCATAAATAGGACATTTCATAAAAAGGAAGAAGAAAAAATATCTATTTTCTATGAAGAATGTCCTGTCTATGAAATGTCCTTCCTGTCTGTGAAATGTCATGTCTATGAAATGCCGTCTACGAAATGTCCTGTCTACGAAATGTTCTGTCTACGAAATGTCCTGTCTACGAAATGTTCTGTCTACGAAATGTCCTGTCTACAAAATATCCTGTCTACAAAATGTCCAGTATACGTACAATATCCTTTCTACGAAATGTCCTGTCTATGAGATGTCCTGTCAAGGAAATCACCTGTCTCTGAAACATCCTATCTATGAATAGTTGTGCAATAAAATGATGTCCCAACACCCAATTTTCCTGTTTTTATTGGAAGATTTCCAAAATTTAAGAAAATTTTTTAGAATTTTGACCAGCCATCAACCAACCATGTTATTTTCCACTTAATAAATTGGGTTCCATTGATTCAACCGTTTTGAAGTTTATTGGATATGATAAAAGACACAAAATATGAATATAAAAGTTAATTATTTAAAATCATTAAAAACTTTATTTCGTGTGTTTACGACTTCTTAAAGCTTCCTTCAACTCCTCCCGCAGGAGCTCGGCCTCTGTATTGGAGCCTGTGTCTAGTCTTGGCACCATCTTGCCTCCGGTATCATCATTCTCATCATTCTCATCATTCTCATCGTCATCGTCATCGTGAGGAGATGTAACCTAGATATATGATAAAAGGTACTAATCATGAATTTTGAAAGAGGATATTTGATCCAACATGAGTATATACAATGTTTTTTATTTGAGATATTCAACAAAATATGTGTGACTGACCCTTGCCATCATTTGATTTTGATGTTTGGTCTAATAATTTCGGAATCCAGTAGGAAATATCTAAAATTTCAATTACAAAATTTTTTTTGAAAGCTGTTAAGTCCATAGATTTTTTTCTTGTTAAATTAAAGAAAAATAACTAAATATTAAAGTTTAATTCGTCTTAAACTGATTATTTGACATACATTTGGACTGGGAAGCAAAATGGAGCTCAAACAATGTATTGACTTTTTAAATTTACGAGGGACTTATATCTGGGAATTATCTGACAAAAAGTGACTGATTTAAACTAATAAAATAATCTTTAAAGGCCTTTTTAGACAAGTTTATCATGCATGTTTCTCTTAACTCTTTGAATATTGTACAAAAAAATAAAACTTTAAAAGAAAAGAAATTATGTAATTTCTTGCATAAAGCGTATATTTTTAGCACCCAGTGATATCGTGGAAAGGCTTAATTTTGATCCCAAATAATATGCAACTATAAAATATGTGAGAAATCTCTGGCCTCGAAGCTGACCTTTAGAAAATAAGGCGGGGGTTGAGGACAGTAAACCGGAATTGAAGCAGAGCTGGTTCGGGTGAGGGATTGTCTGTTAATGGAAGCAAAGTCAGCACTCTGGAAGCGAGGGAACACTGGTGATGATGAGTAAGGAGGTGGTCCCTAAAACAACGAAGATATATATTTTTATACAATTATATATTCATTTAAAAAAGAAGACGGTTCACTGTACATTTAATGATTGGTATGTCCAATTCACAACGGTACCCTTAAAAACTTTGTCTGATCAAGAATGAATGAGATATTCATGATTTATCTTAAAAACTGGTTATTTTCAATTGTGGTTTTTCTATTAATGCGACTTGCGGATATCTTTATACAGAAACAACTTGTAAGATTTACCCCCTTTTCAAGCTTAAAAAGCTACAAATTTTATTCTATATGATTACTATCAAATGAGTTTGAGGTCGAATAGCAAAAAGTAGCTGAACTAGGTCCCAGTAGTTAAACACTCCTTCCCTAATCCAGCTTATAGAGTTTATTATATAATTATTTTAAGTACTTACAACAAAAACATATCTAGTTCAACTACTTACAACCACAAAATACCTATAGTTCGACTACTAACAACCACAACATACTTAGGTCAACTAAAAAACACAATATACATAGTTAACTACTTACAACCACAGCATACCAGAGGTTCAACTACTTACAACCACACCATATCTATTTCAACTATATGTACTGACAACCACAAATACATAGTTTTGACTACTTACAACCACAACAAACCTAGTTCAATTACTTACAACCACGACATACGTAGTTTAACTACTTACAATCACAGCATACCTAGTTCAACTACTCACAACCGCAACATATCTGGTTCAACTATGTACTTACAACCACAACATACTTAGTTCAACTATGAAATACAACCAAAAAATACCTAGTTCGACTACTCACAACAACATATCTAGTTCAACTACTTAAGACCGTGTATATTAAAATGCTAATATTATCTTTAAAATCTAAAGATCTAAACCTGCGACTCTAAAAGATCTTCATTGAATGAGCCTGGTGAATCAGGACATGCTGGAGAATCACATGATGGATAGGTCACATATGAACCGTGCCTACAAAAAGCCTTCTTCTATAGGACAATCTTTGTACCGGAGATAAATTGATTAGATGCAAGGTTACCCACAATGTATGATACTGTAATGAAGACCTGAAACTCTGAAAATATGACTATCCCATGGTTGTTTCGAGTTCTCTGCATAAAATATAGGCTTTTAATGGCGTATTTAATGATTTGTTAAAGATAAATTTGTTTAAAGTTTCAAGGTATCATGAATGTAAGGAAACAGACGGCGCTACGACATCTGCTCTATTTCCATTTGCTCTAGTTCCATTTGCTCTATTAACCATTTGCTCTATAGCTCATAGATCACGACGTTTGCTCTATATGTCATCTGCTCTATACGTCAATTGATCTATGACATAACACGTCAATTGCTCTATAAACATTTTTATGACTGTGATGGTCCAATTGCTCTACTCAACATTTGCTCTATGAGTAAACACGTCCTTTGCTCTATAAACATATTTATATAAATATCTAATCATATTAAAACAATATTTTTACAATTTTACATTTTACAATTCTTCCTACAGTTTCATTATTCCGCCAACTTCCTGGAGATAGTTTTGTTTGTCTGGTATTTGTGCATATTGTGAGACCAAGCTAAATATTAACATTTTCTTGTTCTTTGAGTATTGGCACCCTGTTTGTTTAGAGTAGAATTAATATAGTTTTTACCACATATTAGGTTTTTTTTACCCCTCTTATTATTGAGCAGTCTCGCTGTCATGATGGACTTTGAAGAACTGATGAAAACTGCAATTTGCGAATTTTCCAAAAAAAAATCCCGCATTTCATAGTCAAGTTACGCTCAGGAATTCCAATAAAAGCTATTTTATAGTGTATTTTTATGTTATAGAGCAAATGACGTGTTAAGTCATAGAGCAGATTGAATATGGAGCCAATGACGTATAGTGCAAATGACGTATAGAGCAAATGACTTGATAGAGCAAATGGAACTAGAGCAAATGGCCATAGAGCAAATGGAAATAGAGCAGATGTCGTAGCGCCGAAACAGACAGTTCTAAACTGTCGTCTTTGAAGTCTCATCTTTTGTGGGTTACCCTGTACATCCTTTAAATGAGTCTATAAGGTTATGGTGGAAACATTATGTTGAATGCTCAGCACCGCAATAGAAAACAATCAGCACCATACTGTGAAAACTAAAAAACTCTAAAATAGGAAGACGACTTTTAGATATAAATTTAAAAAGTACAATGTGCATGAGACACAGCAATTGTGGAGTGTAAACAGACCCAGTTTACTGAATTATTGATTTAATAAGTGTCTAGTAAAACTAGTTTCTTTGTAACAACATATACACAAATACACTTAAGTTGTCTTATTATTCCATTGTTTTCTGGTTATCACTGTAGTTTAACTTTGTGTTAGTTTTTACTAGATAAAGAAAAATCTCAAAAGATGAATTTATTTAATTTCTTTGGTGTACTGTAAAAACTTCGCGTGAACTATAACAACCCTTTAAAACAACAAAAATTCAAAGTTTTAATTATATTATTTGTGGATTAGAATGAATGGCTATGTGATATAATATTGTTAGTTATGCAATACATAAATGATAAGATAACAAAGTTAAATTTTCCGTATGAAAGTGCCATAAACTGTCAGTTAAATTACTTTTTACCGTAACATTGGATATAAATGCCACTAGTACAGGTTTATTCAAAATTCATTTAAGAAATATTCGTTATCTTCTATTTAACTTTTGGGAACATTCCCTTTAATAGGTCCAAGAAACTACGTACTCAACTTGGTTTAAGAAAAAATATGCTCACCGTTCTCCTTCGAATTCATTATTGATCATGAACGTATTCTCTGTGGTCGAGGGCTCCATCTTGTTCATGATGTTGTAGAAGCTGGTGTTGTTTTGACCAGCTTTAACACGGTGGAATATGTCAAGGGTTTTGGTTTTTAATGCTTTATAAAGGAATTGAGCATTTGAAACAAACTCTGATTTTCTAATCTTTATATTTTTGCAACCTTATATATGTCAAACTATAAATTCTGTTACATTAATTAATCAAAATTAAAATATCAAAGGTTTAGAAAATTTGTCTTTGTGGCGGAGACTCCATTATTATGTTCCAAATGTTCTGTAAGGTGTGGATTTTTTTAATACCTTGCTTTCATACGAATATTTACTTTACTGCTTGATAGAGCAGTATTTCCTGAATGCTACTACTCTTACTTTTGTACCACTTTAACATAAACCCTCAATTTTGTAACCATTTTCAACCTTCTTTACAAGACAGTTATATTTTTATCAATTTTTTAACCCCTACTAACTTTATTTTATGACCCCATTTAACTTTATAAACACATTTTAACTTTTTGTTATTCTTTTCATCTTTTTTTCATCTTCTTATTTTTTTTAATCCGCTTTTATTTTCTTAAAACCTTTTCACCATATTATAAACCATTTCATCTATTCTATTTCACCATATTATAAACCATTTCACCTATTCTATTTCACCGTATTATAAACCATTTCACCTATTCTATTTCAGAGACATTTTCACTCCTGTATTTTTAAGTTTGAGGGTAGACTGAAACCCACATTTTACAGGTGTACAATTTCGTCTAGAATAACGTAGTGAAATCATTATTCAATTTAAATATTTCTTCGTATTTTTTTACTAGTTTAAAATTAGGTTCTTTTTTTCTTTTATTTAGCTGAGTCTAAAACTAAAGAACGAAAAGTTTTGACTTAAATTTTAAGTTCATGGTTAAATGCCACTTCTGACTTAATTTAAACCTGAACTTTAACCGTGAGGTTAAATATTTAACCCTGTGGTTAAATATTTAACTCGCCGAAATCGACGAGTTAAAATTTAAACACAGGTTTAAAATCTTAAATCCTGCATTTTCCCTATTTGTCTATTATTCAATCATCATTCAGCTGAGAAAGCGGCNTATATTGATAAAGATTACAATGAACCCGACTGTAATCTAAAAAACTGCTTACCTTATAGATAAAGATTACAATGAACCAGACTGTAATCTAAAAAACTGCTAACCTTATAGATAAAGATTACAATGAACCAGACTGTAATCTAAAAACTGCTTACCTTATAGATAAAGATTAAAATGAACCAGACTGTAATCTAAAAACTGCTAACCTTATAGATAAAGATTACAATGAACCCGACTGTAATCTAAAAAACTGCTTACCTTTTTGATAAAGATTACAATGAACCAGACTGTAATCTAAAAAACTGCTTACCTTATAGATAAAGATTACAATGAACCAGACTGTAATCTAAAAAACGGCTAACCTTATAGATAAAGATTACAATGAATCAGACTGTAATTTAAAAAACTGCTAACCTGATAAAGATTACAATGAACCTAACTGTAATCTAAAAAACTGCTCACCTTAAAGATGAAGATTACAATGGACCAGACTGTAATCTAAAAACTATTAAGCTTGGAGATAAAGATTACAATGAACCAGACTGNTTGAAGAAACGAGTACATAGAAAAAAATGGCAATGAACCAGCCAGGAATCTGTATTAAAGACAGTCCGAAGAGGCTCCAACCTATCTTTAACGCCCAGTCTAAAACATTTAAGAAGTATAAATGATAAACTTTGCATTTCCGCTAATTCACGTGTAAGGATGTACGTAATACGTATCATGTAAATGTAAACATATTTAACATACATTTATAATAAATAACAAGGGGCTTGAGTGAGACGAGGGATGGGATGCAATAGAGGGAATTAGAAAAGGAGGGAGGTGAGGTATTGATGGGGAACTGAAGAAGAATGTAAGGGAGGGAAGGAAGTGGAAACAAAGAAAGAGGGAGAAAAGGACGGGAAAATAAAGAAGGCGGGAGGATGGAACTGTATAGGTTAGAAAAGAAGAGAAAAGAGCTGCAATGACAATATTGTCTTACATTGTCTGTACTCTGCAGATGTTAAAATCCTCTCAGGGTCAGAAAAGTCGGGATGTGCAATCCAAATGTGGTCTTACATTGTCTCAGTTTATAAAATTGACAAGGGCTCGACAAGAGGGGAATCGAGGGACTAGAATCACCTGGTTTTAGAGAATAAATGATTGCAGTTGGACTCCACGGGATTAGACAGAAGATTATAAGAATCACCAGAACTAATGGACAAAATAAACTCCAACAAATCTGAAAAATGTAATTTATTCTTAAATTAGTAATTCAAACCCGAAATTATTCACCTTGACACCTTCAACATCAATTCGTTTAAAAAAGTACACTGAAAGGAACTGGAAGCGTAATTTCAAGTGACCCTGCATGCAGAGATGGCAATAATCGATTTACAACGGTACCCTTGAAAGCTTTGTCTGATCAAAGTGTGAGTAAGATATGAAATGTTTTGGTTTCTTTAAAACTGTTTATTCTTATTTGCAAGTTCTCTGAGAGGTTTATGTGAGGAATGAACAAGATCTGATTGTGCACTGAGTTTTTTTTTAAATTTCTCCCAGGAACTGAAGTACAATTTTTGTAAACAAAGATTATGGTGTACGTTTTTCATATTAACATTCAACAACTATCCAAATTAATAGAAAAACCTACCTGAAAATAAAATCCGGGAGATACCCCAACCATGCATTTTATATCTCGGCAAAACCTAGAAAATATTAAGATAAAATAGTTAATTGATAAAAAAGTTAAGTCATCTCTCATCTCATCATCATCATCACCCACTGAGAAGTTTTCGATGCGTAAATTGAAATATGAGATATTTAAATTTGATTGAATAACAATTTTTCTCTCAATTCGGTTGGGACTTTTCTAAATGCATCTGCATGAAACAAGCAAAGGGCAACAAAATTGTGATAAAAAACATTTTACATGTATAGAGTTGATTAAAGAATGTGACTATATTGTATTTAAGATCAGAACCTTTGCACTCCGTACAACCACATAACCATGAGAAGCTCCACCAGACCGACAATTATCACTAAACAACTGGAACTATATATTTGTATTGATACAATTTCATCAAAACTAAGAAATGAAAGAATAAGTTGTTATTTATAAGTTTTCATGGATCAAGTTAAATAAATTTAAACTGCCTACCGCCGGTTTAATTTTGAATCACCGGTTCAAATCATTTTCTAATTTAACTTAGAATCGGTGGTTCAAATTTTAACCGGCGACGTTCCCCAAATTTATAAAATTTGGTCCCAGATTTAGAATTTAATGAATTTGAGCCGCCTATTAAATGCGCCAAAAACCGGTTTCAATTGAGCGCCGGCTTAAATCTTGAAACATTGAATACACTTTTAAGTGGAACCAACCATTATTGACCCACGTCTCAAATTTAAACCGCGGCTCAAATTCTTTAAATTCGGCCTCAGGTCAGGGAACTGTAAAAACTTTTTTTAGTTTGATATTATAATACAATGATATCTTATCAAGGGTACCAGTACAAACGTCGGACCCACAAACGTCGGACGGTACAAACATAAGACTTACAAACGTCGGACAGTACAAACGTCGGACTAGTACAAACGTCGGACCAGTAAAAACATCGGAACAGTACAAACGTCAGACTGGTACAAACGTCGGACCAGTCCAAACGTCGGACGGGTACATTTATAAGGAAAAACGTCGGACTAAGGAGGAAAAAATATAAATGAATTTTTAGACTAAAATTCTTGTAAATACGCAACTTTCTCTCAAAAAAATTCCCAATTTTTTTTGTTAAAAATTCTTAATCTCACAAATTCTGGATACATGGACGAGGAGACTGCTAACTATGTTGAGGTCAAGCAGTGGGGACGCCACCTGCTTGATTCAAATCAGTTTGAATATAGGGTTACAAAGAAGAAACCCAACAAAAACTATTACCAATGCATTCAAAGGAAAAACAATTCTTGTCCTGCAGGAGCAGTTGTAAACAATGAGAATGACAAGATTATCAGTTTCCTGGGAGAGCATACACATGACAGTGATCTTTTGAAGAAACGAGTACGTAAAATATGAAAACAAGTAGTTAAAGAAAGCTCTGGAAATATAGCAATAAGTCCACGAAATGTTCTTGGAAACATCTAACATTGGGCTGCAAAGATATAGGGATTAAACTGTATGATCTTGTAGAATTCATAGTTTGAAATTTTTTAAAACAATGGTCCATTCAAAATCTACCAAGTCCGACGTTTTGTCTCATAAATGTACCCGTCCGATGTTTGTAATGGTCCGACGTTTGTACCAGTCTGACGTTTGTACTAGTCTGACGTTTGTACTAGTCCAACGTTTGTACTGGTCCGACGTTTGTGCGTCCGACGTTTGTGCGTCAGACGTTTGTACTGGTACCCTTATCAAGTATACTTTGTTATGTGCAATAGATATTGACTGCATGGTAATTGCATAACTTAATCATTTTTAAATGTAAATCTGTGGTTAATTCAGCGTGAAAGACCCTACATTGATAACAAATTTAAAATACATTTTATAACTTTTTAAGCACGCCAAAAAAGATTTTACAATGGGCCGTGATTGATATACATTTTAATTTGAAAAAATGACCAATTTTTATTATCAAATCTAATCAATTTGAGTATTTAAGGTTGCCGTTTTGAATGACATGCCACTCTTTAAATGGAGTGTGACCTAAAAAAATTAGATTTCTGTGAAATAGAACCTGTTATTTTGGTTCCATACAAATCCATAATCTCTAGAACACGCTGACCCTTCTCACTGATACATGGGAGTCCCAAGAGGAAACAGCTAGTTGACAGAAGACAGGTTAAAATTTCCTGGGTAAAGATATATTTAGATATTAGAAAAAAACAACTTGGAAATCAGATAACTTATAAAAATGTTGAGATGTATTAGACCAGCTCCAATAAAACCTTTATGTAATACAATGAATTTTGGATTTAGAAAATTCAAAAATTCCATTTTCTCTCATAGATAGTTCGGATGCGACTTTCAATAAGCTTATTTTTTATTCTATTTTTTCTTTCAATAAGCTTATTTTTTATTCTATTTTTCTTTCAATAAGCTTATTTTTTATTCTATTTTTCTTTCAATAGGCTTATTTTTTATTCTATTTTTTCAATGGCTTTAAATCAAATTGGAAATGGAAAAAGGTACCTGATGTGACCAAAGCATTGGAAATAAGTCCTTAAGTGTGGTCAGGATAACCTCAAACAAGACATACTGACAATTAAGTCCTAAAAACAATAAAGGAATCCATTGAAAAAACCCACAAAATCCATAAAAACACCTAGTCTTACTTGGTTCAAAACATTCTGTTTTTACCATAAATTGTTATTGATTTAATTATTAATAAATCATAATGTTGATTATTAAGTAAGTAATAAATTGATTATAAATAAATTTTTAATTTTCAAACAAAATAAAAAACCAGAGAAGAATTTGAGCCGCGGCTTAAATCTGCCAAAACCCGGTTCAAATTAAGCGCCGGCTTAAATCTTGAAACATTTGATACAATTTTAATTGGAACCAACCATATTTAAGCCGCGGGTTAAATTTAAGCCGCCGGTCAAATTCTTTAAATTCGGCCTCAGGATATCTTTATAAATGTGAATTAAGCATACTACTTTTTAAAAACCTTTTTAAACCTTTAAACCTTTTTAAAAAGGAAGTCACTTGTCATAACTCTCGACAGTTCCTTTAATAACCAAATTTTTAACCTAGGATGAAGAGCATGAGAAAGAAGATTATGGACCACAGATTTGGAGTTGGTATTTGTTCCAGAGCCTTGAATAAATATTATTAAAGGGACAGGTCTCTACTTTTGAAATGCGACCAACAAATGTAAAGATTTAACACAGTTGATAAAAATGCATCCTCTAAATGATGCAACAAGAAACTCCGCATTGTTGTTTACACAAATGTGTACTGCAGTTTTTGTAAGTGTAAATATATATATATATAAACCCCATTTATGAGCCCTAGGCCTGCGCAGCTCGAGAGTTTTTTATTCCTCTCAGAAAATGTCGTACACATTGTTTGTAAACAACTGTGTGGGAGTTCCTAGGAGTAGTAAGAATTAAGAATTAAGATATTAAATCTGAAAGCCTCGTTCTAAAAATTCAATTTTAAGAAAACGCGACCTAGAAAATAAGAAGAAAAACAGCATACCTCAGGAATAGAAATAAAAGCAAGTGCTTGTTCGCCCGTAACAGTCTCCTAAAAAACAATTATATATACTTTTTTTCAGTGGCAGTTGAACTAGCTGTCGAGATGTATAGTGAAGACTCTACGACATAGTTCAGAATAAGAGTTTTACAAAATATTTGTAATTTGTTGAAACAAAATAAGATTATAAAATATTTGTGTTTCCATTGGCTGAAGACGAACAAATTTAAAAAAACCAACTTATTTTCCATTTCTTATTCTAAACTGTAAAGAGTCTAAGATATGTCTCAACCGCTCGTTGATTAAGAATCAAAATTGTAAGAACCCAACACTTTAAGCTAGGAAAAGACGATACTATTTATCAGATAAAAATTTAAAGAAAACCCGTTTTAAATCCTTAAATGAAAGGTCATTTAAAAATACTCATTCCCTTATAAATAGCTGTTTTTTTGGTATGCAACAATTTTCATTTAATCCCGCCGGGATATTTTCATTTAAAGATACTTTGAACATCTACAAAGGCAAAAAAAATCCGCAAAATCCGCAAGCCCTCGGCCGGGTTTATCATTGAATCCCCTCTTTAAAAAGGAATGTCATTTACTCTCAGACAAATTAGAATCAATGGAAATTTAAACCCTCGAGGGATTCAATGATAAACCCGAGGGCGTCTGAGAGTAAATGATACATTCCCTTTATAAGTTAATGATAATTTGGAGAATTTTAACCTGAATAGATACACCTGTTGAATGTTCTCTGTGTCCTAGTAGAGAGAATACAACAATACTCGCGACTATACTGAACCAAGATAACTTCATTCACTCAAATAAGAAATGAAAAAAACTATGTAAGTTATAATTACTTAACAAAACCTTTAATTTTGAGCGTTTTATTAGGATTAAAAATCTTATGAGACATTTAAAAAAGGCAGTTAAAGAGACGATTTATGCAGTAATGCACATAATAAAAAAATGGAAATATGTTTTTACAAATATGAATAAATGATATTCGTGTATACAACAAGAAAGGAGACGTGAAAAAATGTCGATTAGAACGAGCTAAAAATCTAAATTTTTATTTTGATTTGATATTTTTATGATAATGGTAATCTAATCAAGGTTAAACCTCTACATATTCCACAATCACTCCCATCAAATCTTTATATTTGGATTTTGAGAGGATTATAATGATTCCTTGTGAAAAAGTCTATGATTGGAACTATCTGAGTATCAATATGGATTCTATCATTGAACTTGTTGAAACTACCAAGCATAGTAAGGCCCCCCCAGGAGAGCCCAAGAGAATAGAAGACCTGAAAAAGGAATTTTTAAATTCTAAAAATTCTAAATTTGCTTTGCCTTCTCACCCTGCAACCTAAAATCTCATCTTGTCGACTTTAATTTTAGTAATGCTACCCAGTTGTTTATATTTTTAGTAATGCTACCCAGTTGTTTATATTTTTAGTAATGCTACCCAGTTGTTTATATTTTTAGTAATGCTACCCAGTTGTTTATATTTTTAGTATTGCTACCCAGTTGTTTATATTTTTAGTAATGCTACCCAGTTGTTTATATTTTTAGTAATGCTACCCAGTTGTTTATATTTTTAGTAATGCTGCCCAGTTGTTTATATTTTTAGTAATGCTGCCCAGCTGTCTATATTTTTAGTAATGCTGACCAGTTGTTTATATTAAATTGAATAAAAAAAAATCGACGACCCAGGCTTAACAAACCTGTTAAAATTCGCCAATTTCATTAAGCTGTGATTTTTAGGGGTTTGGACCTCGATTGCAGAATTCCATTATTTTCAATTTCTTGTATTAAAAAAACCCCAGAGAAATTTATTTGCATCTTAAAAAATTACTAAAATTTGTGAGTGATTTTTAGGAAATTCTATAATTTATCAAATATTAACGTTTATCACCTGAAGGGCAGCATCTCTCCAGACACTCAACTCTTCAAGTTTTGACCATTTAGGATTAAAGAGGATCCGAAGTCCCTGAAGTATAAAGATTTGGGATTAAGGAGGATCAGAAGTCCCTGAAGTATAAGAGTTTGGAATTAAGGAGGATCAGAAGTCCCTGAAGTTTAAGGATTTGGGATTAAGGAGGATCAGAAGTCCCTGAAGTTTAAGGATTTAGGATTGAAGATGACTAGAAGTCCCCAAAGTACAAGGATTTGGGATTAAGGAGGATCAGAAGTCCCTGAAGTTTAAGGATTTAGGATTGAAGATGACTAGAAGTTCTGAAGTACAAGGATTTGGTATTAAGGAGGATCAGAAGTTCCTGAAGTATAAGGATTTGGGATTAAGGAGGATCAGAAGTCCCTGAAGTTTAAGGATTTAGGATTGAAGATGAATAGAAGTCCCTGAAGTACAAGGATTTGGGATTAAGGAGGATCAGAAGTCCCTGAAGTATAAAGATTAGGGATTAAAGAGGATCAGAAGTCCCTGAAGTACAAGGATTTGGGATTAAGGAGGATCAGAAGTCCCTGAAGTTTAAGGATTTTGAAGTGAAGAGGATGAAAAGTCCTTGAAGTTTAACGATTTAGGATTGAAGATTAATAGAAGTCTCTGAGGTATATGGATTTGGGATTAAGGAGGATCAGAAGTCCCTAAAGTATTAGGATGTATCTAAATCTCTAAGATTTAAGGATTTGGGATTAACGAGGGTCAGAAGTCTCAGTCTGAAGTTCAGGAATTTGGGATTGAAGATGACTAGAAGTCAATGAAGTTTAATCATTTGGGAATAAAGAGGAAAAAAACCAAGAAGTAAAAGGACTCAGGATTGAAATGAAAAAGCATTTGGAATTAGAAGTCCCTGAAGTATCAAGAGGAATAAAAGTACTTGTATTTGCACAAGGATTTGGGATTGAAATGGAAAAGAAGTCCATAAGGATTTAGGATTGAAGAGGACTAAAAGTCTTTGAATTCAAAGGATTTGGAATTAAAGAGAATCCGAAGTTCATTAAGTACAAGGCTTTGGAATAAAAGAGGACTAGAAGTCCCTCAAGTACAAGGATTTGAGATTCAAGAGGATCAGAAGGGCGCTACGACATTTGATCCAGGCAACATCTGATCCAGTCGTCATTTGATCCAGTAATAACAAATCAATTTGATACATGTATTATAAATTTTAAAATAATAGCTTTAAAAACATGACATGCACAAATTTTTTGACGAAAGATTTGCAAAATAACATTTTCTTGGTTGGCGTTCAGGATGCAGGTAATAAAAGAGGTAGTTTTAAACTTGTTTGTCCTCAAAGCTACATTTACACCAGATCTTCCAACCAAGGCAAGGCTGTATACTTGGAGTGGCAACTATAGGACGAGCTAAAGTTAAGAAAGAAGGTTCTGCTAGAAGAATTCGGAGTAAAAACAGTCCTACCAGAACTAAAAATATTGTTTCACAAGACAACACCTTTAAGTAAAAGTCGAAATATGTGGCAGATATTGGTAGTACTTTGAAATTGTTAACATGTAAATTAACCTAAATTGTCCTATTTGCAATCGTGTAAAATATAGCTTTTACTTGAAACCTAAACTGTCCTATTGTAGTTATTAAATTAGAATTAAATTAGAATTAAACTAGCTTTGTTTTCCTATTTGAAAAGGGGTGTTTAATTTTCTACAACAGTAGGATACAGACAATAAAACGTTTTATTTTAAATTTACCCTGGATCAAATGGCCAAATTCTCTTGTGGATTATATGTTGGTTGGATCAATTGCCAATAAAAAAGTTTTAAAAGTAATCCTGGATCAAGGTCGATTGGATCATATGTGGCATGGACCAAATATCGTGATCCATTGATGACTGAATCAAGTGTCGACTGGAACACTTGTCGCTGGATTACATGTTGCTGGATCATTTGTCGCTGGATCGAATGTCGTGGCGCTGATCAGAATTCCTTGAAGTATAAAAATTTGGGATTAAGGAGGATCAGAAGTCCTTGAAGTATAAGGATTTGGGATTAAGGAGGATCAGAAGTTCTTGTAGGATTTGGGATGGAAGATGACTAGAAATTCTTTGAAGGTAAGGATTTGGGATTAAAGATGAATAGAATAAAAGTCCCCAAAGTACGAGGATTTGGAATTGAAATGGAAAAGAAGTTCACAAGGATTTAGGATTGAAATCCTAGGACTTGGGGTTAAAGAGAATCAAAAGTCCATGGAAGTACAAGGTTTTGGAATGAAGAGGACTAGAAGTCCCTAATGTACAAGGATTTGGGATTGAAGAGGACTAGAAGACCATGAAGAATAGGGATATTTGGGATTGTTGAGGACAAAAAGTTCCTAAAGTACAATGATTTGGGATTGAATAGAAGAAAATAACACCGATCGTTAACTAATAAAAGATGGTTTTCTGTCAGAACATGAACCATGCGCTAGTTCTACTAATTTCTATAATACTATAACTGCAAGTACCTGAGTTGACCCTTCCAGGGTTAAGCCCCGCACTAGGAGGATAAAAAGAAGGATGTAGGGAAACAGGGCAGTAGAATAACTAATCTGAATTCATAAACATATTAAACCATTTTTATAATCGTTTAACAATTTATACAATAATTTATCCATTTTTTGAAAGCTTTTGACCATTCATAGTGATAGAATCAAGAATCATTAAACCATTTATCAGGAATATCAGGAAAGGGATCATTTAACCATTTAAACAATCATATAATAATTTAAAAACATTATGAAATCATTTAGCTATTTATGATAATATAATCATTAAACTATTCACTTGTTTATTTATTTTTACTATCATTTTACTACTTATTTTGCAATAATTTTACCAACCATATACGTACCAATATCTATCAATTTTTCCATTAGATTAAAAGCGACTGTAATTTTAATTTCAAGTGACCCTTATTTTCTAGAGTGGGATGAGGGGTTCAGGTAAAGTATTGAATGGTATATATGGTGTGAATCTAGCATGCCTCCCTTTAAATGGATTCAAGTGGGGAGATTTTGGTAACTAATAATTTGGTAACTAACATTTTGGTAGCTAAAATTTTGGTAACTAATATTTTGGTAACTAACATTTTGGTAACTAATAATTTGGTTACATATATTTTGGGAATTAACTATTTGGTAACCGACAATTTGGTAACCAACAACTTGGTAACCAACAACTTGGTAACTTGAAAATTTGGTAACCTGACAATTTGGTAACCCAACAATTTGGTAACTAACAATTTGTATAATTGAAACTTATGTTTCACAATCACTGTTTGTATATTTATTTGTTGAATACTTGAAACAATTTTCAAGATTTCTTCAAAGTTTAGCATGACAAAAACTGTAAACTTGGCCCCCTAGCCTGTCCTAGCCGCAGCCTTTGGCCCATTAATTGTCTTAACCTAACCTAACCCCACATATCAGATATAATTGTATTAGTTTTGATAAATATGGCCACATCGCTTGGCCCCATAGCCTGACCTAGCCGCAGCGCTCGGCCCAGAAATTGTCTTAACCTAACCTAACCCCACAAATCAGATATCATTGTATTAGTTTGGATAAATATGGCCGCAGCGCTTGGCCCAGATATTGTCTTAACCTAACCTAACCTAACCCTACATATCGAAAATCATTGTATTAGTTTGGATAAATATAGCCGCAGTGCTTGGCTCAGAAATCGTCTTTACCTAACCTAACCAAATTGTTAGTTAGCAAATTCAAGTTAGTTACCAAATTGTGAGGTTACCAAATTATTAGTTACCAAATTATTAGTTACCAAAATGTTAGTTACCAAAATGTTAGTTACCAAATTGTGAGGTTACCAAATTATTAGTTACCAAATTATTAGTTCCCAAATTGCTAGTTACCAAAATGTTAGTTACCAAATTGTGAGGTTACCAAATTATTAGTTACCAAATTGTTAGTTACCAAAATGTTAGTTACCAAAATGTTAGTTACCAAAATGTTAGCTACCAAATTGTTAGCTACCAAAATGTTAGTAACCAAATTATGAGGTTACCAAATTATTAGTTACCAAATTATTAGTTACCAAAAATCCGTCCATCTGCAGGATTCAATTGAAATTAAGTTCACAGTCCCTTTAAGGATGTATTGTAAACAAATGCTTGACTTCAACTATTAATTTAATTATTTCTAGAAAACTACCTTTCTACTAATTTTCACTCCATTTACTACAATCACGGTCACTAAAAGAGTCCTCGTTAATACATATCTTAGTTTTAAAACTTTAAATTGGGGTTTTAAAAGTTTAAATATAGACAAAAGGGAATAGATACGGAACTAGTTAATCCAGGGGGAGGGGTTGTTCATCTCTTTCCCCCAGTTGCATCTTTAATAAGCCAAACCAGAAACATGCCAGAAACATGTTATGAAAAGAAATAATTAATATGAAGAAAGAATTAAAGAAAAAGCGTAAATTCTAAGGAAAAAGTACTTAAAAATTCAAAAAAAAAACGCTTTGTTCCTGAAATTTTATCAATAATATTAACTAGCCTGAAATCCAAGTAAGAAGAAGACAGAAGGCAAGATTTAAGTCAATTGATCCAATATCACCAAACTTCTATCAAATTTCAATCTTTTAGGTGAAAAGGATAAAATATTGAAAGTTATAACTTCATATTCATATTAAAAGAATATCTTTAACCTCAAGTCCTTTTTTATCTTGTTTAAGAAGAACTTTATTCCAAAACTGTTGAGCAGAGGATTGAAGAGAAGATTGAGAACACCCTTCAATATCATCAAGAAGACATTGCCCCTAGATTTGTAATTTTTAGAGATATTGTGTGACAGTTGACACATAAAAAGAGGTATTTAAAAATAATGCACAAGAGGTTTCTAGGAAACAACAAAATTTGAAGAAGAATATTCTGTAAGCTTATGATTTATATTCTTAATTTATAATGCTGTTCACTTTTCTCAAAAGATTTCTACGAAAATGAAAATCGGCAAAATCAAATAATAATCCCTGTTTTGGTGTGATAAAATCTACCTCTAGAAGCAAGATTTTATGATAGGTCTGATTACCCGAAGTCGTGAAGCATCTAAACAATATATTTTTATTACAGATTAAAGTTTTGACAATTAATTTGAATGACTTAAATTCAATTAACCGACCATCATTAACAATGTAAGACGGCGTTGGCTGTATCTATAGACTGTATTTCCACCAGTTAAATGATCCCACTTCATTAGAAATGAGCTTTTCCTTCCTTAAAGAAGAATGTTAAGTAGTGTACTTCATAACTCAAATATACATTTATTTTATTTATATAAGTTTTTTATATACAATATATTTTGAGGTCATCTTTTTAGTGTTATTTTTCATTTAAGAATGATTTTTTTGTATCTTCATACCATATAAGGCGTTCTTCTTAGGTGGAGGGGTGCGGGACGGGATGCCCAACCCCCAGGCTGTACAAAGATTCAGATTCCACGTTATTATGTTTGCAGGCATGGTGTTCGAAAGCTTAGCTGAGGGTGCCCCAGTCTTTTTAGGTTTAATTATCATTTGTAACGAAAAAAATAATTCAAATATGAGGTACATGTTCTTGATTATGACAAGAAATAATCAGGAATATTTCCAGTAGGTCAGAGGAACTGAGTTTTCCTACATCTAAGAGGCTTTATTACAATTAATTTAGCTGTAACCAGGGCCGTCAAGCGGGGGGCAAACTGTCGAGCCCCACCCCCGTGTTAGATAAAATTTGAGCAAGACAAGTGTCTTTTGTCAATGTAAGAGGGCTTTGCCCCCCCCCCCTTGTTAACCCTGTGAGGTCCATTACCCTCCCCCTCCTGCAAAAACTTTTGTTACGGGCCTGGTTGTGACCGATATTTAAATATAGGAGATTTTTTTCTAAGTTCTATATTTGGAGATTATATTTAGTATAAAAGAATTACCTTTGGTCTGCTCCCCAGGTTTCGTCACAAACTGACCATGGTAAAATACTTCGAAAAGATTGGAACAAGTAGAACAAGCAATAGGAGAGCAAAATGTTGTAGTAAATACAAACTACAATATAGAGATTATTATACAATAGGTGAGCACAATATTGTAGTAGATACACACTACAATATAGAGATTATTATACAATAGGAGAGCACAATATTGTAGTAGATGCAAACTACAATATAGAGATTATTATACAATAGGAGAGCACAATATTGTAGTAGATACAAACTACAATATAGAGATTATTATACAATAGGTGTGCACAATATTGTAGTAGATACACACTACAATATAGAGATAATTATACAATAGGAGAGCACAATATTGTAGTAGGTACAAACTACAATATAGAGATTATAATACAATTGTACACTAACTGGTAATCTGTACAATAGCTGGTACTCTCTACACTAGCTGGTACTCTGTACACTAGCTTGTACTCTGTNTGTGTACACTCTGGTACTGTGTACACTCTGGTACTGTGTACACTCTGGTACTGTGTACACTCTGGTACTGTGTACACTCTGGTACTGTGTACACTCTGGTACTGTGTACACTCTGGTACTGTGTACACTCTGGTACTGTGTACACTCTGGTACTGTGTACACTCTGGTACTGTGTACACTCTGGTACTGTGTACACTCTGGTACTGTGTACACTCTGGTACTGTGTACACTCTGGTACTGTGTACACTCTGGTACTGTGTACACTCTGGTACTGTGTACACTCTGGTACTGTGTACACTCTGGTACTGTGTACACTCTGGTACTGTGTACACTCTGGTACTGTGTACACTCTGGTACTGTGTACACTCTGGTACTGTGTACACTCTGGTACTGTGTACACTCTGGTACTGTGTACACTCTGGTACTGTGTACACTCTGGTACCCTGTACACTCTGGTACTGTGTACACTCTGGTACTCTGTACACTCTGGTTTCCTGTAAACTCTGGTACTCTGTACACTCTGATACTCTGTACATAATTCGAAAAGATGGGCATGCCCGATTCCCAACTGGACTCTTGACATCTTTAGATGATCAATAATGTTGAAGATAACGTCGTTTTTCTAACCTACATGTTTTTCCTGTAGCAGAAAAATAGACAAGTAACAATTAAAAGTTCTAACTTTAAAACATTTTAAGTATATATTAATCATTCTAGATAAGACAAAGTTTTTATTGGTTCCATTGTGAATTGAAAATACCACTCTAAAAATGAAGCATCACTGGAAATTACGCTTACAGAACTTTAAAGAGAAGTTTTCATATGGAAGTTTAAATCAAATTATTTTATAAATCGCTTGAATGCATCAATAAAATGGCTACACTAACCTATGAGAGACAATACAACCATTGCTACTCCTACCCCGGTGCTGGCAGGAAGCATAGCATAAAATGCAGAAACTACTCCGCCCTAAACAATAATTGTCAAACTTGGTGAACTCAAAGAAAGACGACATTTTAGTCATTTAATGCATAATTTTTAGCATATTTAAGAACAGGTGACACACATTACCCCAAAGTTAATATCTTCCTTTAGCATTTTGTTGTTATTTTTATTTGTTAGGCTCGTCAATAAGATACAATTTACAAAAACTTTGTTAAGTGTAAACAGTTCATTGTACAATGATTGGTTCTAAGTATCTGGTATACTTAAAGGGACTGTAAAGGAAAAAAGAAAGGGTGTGATGGCTGAAACCTAATCATTTTAGGAGTTGATCGAGAGTTCTATCTAATGTTCCTGTCGCGAAAAATTGAAAATTTATACATTTAAAGTTTTGTATAAAAATCGTAGGTTTAAACAGATCATATTCAGCTAATACGCAACCAATCTGAAAATGACGATATTCCAGAGGAACTTAAAAAACTTAGGGTTGCTCCTATTATGTTTTGGTTTTAATAATTTATGTTTTAATAGATAATTGATAATATAATTAATACGTCCGTATCACGTGACAATGATACTGTATTTAATATTGAATTGATGTAAGTCACCTGAGCAAATTGTCCAATAGCAGCTTCCATGAAATACATTGGCATTCCAACAACAACTAAACATGAGAAATCTCATTGTAAGATAAGGAAAGGAGAGAATCAATCCCCTCCCCCCCCGCGTATGAATGCCACACATTTGCGCATCCTTCAAATTAAGGTTTCTCATTAGATGAATTTTTAAAGAAATTGTTCGTCCATCATTGAATTCAAATTTTCGAATGCTTTGCTTGTTTCTTATATCAGCTCGTAATTGTATAATTTTTATTCATCGCTCATTCTTCCGGAAATCTATTTGTTAAGATTTTTTTTATGACTCTTACCAACTATCAATGATTTTAGGCTGTCACATGTTGACATGAAGCCAGTAAAAACTAATTTCCGAGAGAAAAAATAATATTCTTAACCAAAATACCTTTGGCCAGGAACTCCAAGAACAGTTATAATAAATCATTAATTTATTTATTCTAATGGAATAAAAGATCTGAAATAACTGTTAATTTTTCAAAAATAATTTTTACACCTAGGTTGGTTTCAACACTTTTTTTCTGATATCAAAAATAGAAGGGAAGTATTAACAATGTGATAATATACCTAAAAATAACAAATATGGAACCAGGAACGCTGCTCCACCGTTCCGGAATACAAGGAAGGGGAATTGAACAATATTCCCAATACCTTAAAAAATATAATTATCTTATTAACATAACAATTCACGTAAAAATGTATTTAAACATTTAATCGTATAATATTGAATTTCTTATTTTCTATGAATTTGTTCGCAGATTTCTACAAATTATTCAAATGTCGTCTTTTCAATGAAAATTCCAGAAAATCTGCAGAAAATCTTTGGGAGAGATTATAGAAACTAATAATTGAATAAAATTACTTCTTTTTAATGATAAAAGTTAATTTTTGTTTTCTCAACCTGTTCCTTAATAACTTATTAGTTTACTGTAGAATTTTGTTTACATTTACGTTATTTAAGAATTCAAAGAACCGATTCTAAAAACGTACCAAAAAATTAATGATTTACTGACTTTGCGCTCAAACTCAGTAAATATACGTCGTAGAAACGTTTTATATGTCTCAAATGAATTTGTCCACAATATTGCATATTCAGTTCAAACTTCAACCCCCATACATTGCCGGTTTCTCTCTTTAAAATATATTCATTATACCTACAGTGTATCCAATACAGGAAACTAGAAACTCTCCTCTAATACAAGTTTTGAAGAGAAGATTATCAAATAAATATTAAAAATAAAATTTCAAACAATTATTATATTGAGTGTTCAGTATTCTAGAAAAAAATTAATTTCCCCCTCGTCAAATAAAATTCTGTCTCATTTTTTTTTAGGTTTTTATCACTTCATTTTTTAATGAAAAAATTGAGGATAAAGTATATAAAAGTATTAAGCCTCATTTTCATTTTTCAATAAACTATATTCCTTGAGCCCCAGCTCCTTATTTTGTTTTCATCAGAACCCTGAAAATGAGAAATCAAAATCAAAATGATAGCGGAGAGAAAAATCTTTTTATGTTTCCTTGTGTGACCAAAATCAAGATAGATAAACGATCAAACTAAATGGGACTGTAGACGTAATTTCAAGAGAATCTCTATTTTTATAGAGACAAACGCCCAATAACAAAAATTCTAAAATCGAAAAAAGTCGAAATAAAAAACAATCAAAATTTTTTTAGTTAAATGTGTGTATTATTTCAGGGATAGGTTAGCTTAAGACAGTTTCTGGGCCGAGCGCTGCGACTAGGACAGGCTAGGGGGCCGAGCGCTGTGAATAGGAGTTCAAATGTGTATATTAGTTCAAGGTTTGACTGAGTCAAGACATTTTCATTGTAACAATATTTTTCTTAAAAGATTGCCATGACAACAGCCATTTCTCCAGTGATGAAGCTGTGAACAAGAAAAACTATTTTTAGAATTCCCAAATCAAAGTGAAGATATTCGTTTTCATAACTCCTAGATGTAACTTAAACACGGAAGGCATTATAACGGCGCAAAGTATTCTCTTTGAAATGAAAGTTTAAATGAAATGTATTTTGTAGACGTAATTTCAAGAGAATCTCTATTTTTATAGAGACAAACGCCCAATAACAAAACGCCTAAAAAAACGCCCAATAACAAAACGGCAAAAAAAAAACGCCCAGTGCAACAAAACGCCCAATTACAAAACACCCAATGTTACAGAATGCCCAAAATAAAAAACGCCAAAAATAAAAACGGCCAAATTCAGAAAAACGCTTTAAAATCGAAAAAAGTCTAAATAAAAAAACATAAAAAATTTTGGGAGTTAAAATGTGTGTATTATTTCAGGGTCAGGTTAGGTTTCTGGGAATTTCTCAAATGTGTTCAAGCTGTAGACAAGAAGAAATATTCCAAAATCAAAGTGAAGATATTCATTTTCATAACTCTTAGATTTAACTTTAACACTGAAGGCATTATAACGGCGCAAAGTATTCTATTTGTAATTAAAGTATTTTTAACATGTATTTAAACTCCTAGCCGCACCGCTCGGCCCGGTAAAATGTCTAAACCCAACCAAACCCAGAAATAAGCACATTTTAACAATTTTCTGGTAATTGTTCAACTAAACCAAAAATAGTTCAGCTTGATTTAAATAAAAATTTAAATTGAAAGTCGTCTTCATTGTATTGATATGATTCGCCTACCACTGTAGATGAAATCAAAAGCCGATTGAAATCCGATTTTTTGAGGTTAAAATCCACAGTTGAAAATAGTCCTATTTTTCATTGAAAAACTAGAATATCTCACTTATTGTTGATCATGCAAACATTCCACCTGACCTGATAAATGGAGGATTTAAATATACCTTAACTCTTCGCATTTTGAAGTTTAAGAAATCAGCTTTTCTTCTTATATCTGATTAAATTTCATCTTAGTCTACAAATACAATATTATCAATCTCAATTCTTTCATCTGGAAATAAGTTTTAGCTAAATTATTATTATTATAGAGTACCATCGAATATTCACATCTCATCCAGGGGCGTATTCAGAAATTTTTCTAGGGGTGAGGGTGGGCTCAGCATCCGTTGGGGCCCAAGCATCCCTTGAAAACCATAGATTTCACTGATTCAGGGGTAAAATCTCCCCCCTGAAAACGCCCCTGAATCTGAGAGATTTCCAAAAAAGTGGGGCAACTTTTATTATGGAAATGCTGGGAGTGGGACGAGGTTATTTATAGGTTATTTATAAATCTTTGTAAACGCCTGAACCTGTTATTAAATTTTTAAGGATCTATGATCATTGATCTAATTGTAAAAAGAAAAATAGAATTTAAAAAACCACTTTCATTAATAGATATAAACTTTCATAAACCCCATATTAAAATATTTTTAAAGGAAAAACTACAATTTAATATTTTAATTTAATAATTTATTGTCCATAAAAGCGTTATTCGGGAAAGGATCAAAAATCCTCAAAAATGAACAATTTCAACTTCATAAAATAAACCAATCGGTTTGGGTATATTTTGATACTTAATATTCTATTATTAAGTTTTATCAACTGAATTTAAATCACAGTTTATAAGTGAACTTGTGAACTGTGTACTGCGGGTGTAATGTTTACAATGTACACAATAGACTTGTCCGATTCGTTAGACATTTTCTAGCTATGGATGCTCATAAGGAAATGGCGGTTCTGACCTGTCAAATCTTTCGTTGGGATGTTTAGAAAGATGAAAATTTCCCTGTATGATAATTGAAGGACTGCAGTATGGTTTTGGTGAATTATATTGACGTACTAAGCCTAGGGGTGTCTGAAATGATTTTTTTTGCATTTTTTTGAAAACGTCCAATAAACCTAAAAAAGTTTAATTTTGATAAAAAATTTTGTTCTGGATGATTACAAATATCTATATAAAACTTTCTTAAACCGGCATATTTTTTCTATATTCATTTAGTTAAGAGTTTGAGTTAAAATAAGTATTAATAAATATTGCTTTATATCGAGTAGATATCCTTATACATATCGATGTGAAACCTTTCAGAAAGTAGGAAAGA